AAGTGTCATTCTTCCTGGGGGTGTATATGAACAGATTTGAATAACATGTAATGTTGCTAAAATGCTGTCAGTTCCACTTTAAATGCAACAATGTTTCACACACAAGTTATTTTCAAAGAGATGGCTAACAACAGCAAGCATGCTGCAATGAAAAACAGTTCCACACACCAGATGATGATAATTTCAAACTTAACTTCTTGTTGAAAGTTATTCTTGAAAGGGGGAGAAGCTAACAAATTAGCAACAACATCCTCTTTGATAACCCCTGCTGCAGCCGCTGCAAACTAGCCGACAACAAAAGCTAGCTAGACCGTGGGAAAACTACTGCTCGCTATTGCGCAGTGAGTGACCTGTTGGCCTTTAAGAAGGCAGAAGTTTCCATACGTTTTTGTAAAAACGGTCCCACTCATTAAGTCAAAATGTGATTGGTTGATTCCACTGTCACTCCAAAACATTGCCCTAATACAGTTGAATGGCATATGCCTTTATCTAGCTTCTGATGCCCTAGCCAATGGCAGACTTAGCTAGCTAGATTTATGTCCCCAGAGACCAGAAAATAAAAATCCTGATTGGATATTTTTTTCTCTTCAGTGTTCCTTTCCAACAAAAACCCACTGTGTGTGGGTTAGCAATCATTTGTAGAGTGGCTCCATTTTCCCTCAGAATATGCTGTTCTGAAATATGAACACAGAAATACTGGACATTTTGAACTCTTATTATGGTGGTGATTTGACAAAATTACAATCATGGTCTTGAATTGGATTCACATTTATCAGGTCTCGGTCTTGGACCCCTTGTCCCCCTCCCAGTCTCGGTCTTACATTTACATTACATTTTAGTCATTTAGCAGACGCTCTTATCCAGAGCGACTTACAGGAGCAATTAGGGTTAAGTGCCTTGCTCAAGGGCACATTTACGTCATTTAGCAGACGCTCTTATCCAGAGCGACTCACAAATTGGTGCATTCACCCTATAGCCAGTGGGATAACCACTTTACAATTTTTTTTTTGGGGGGGGGGGGGGGGGTTAGAAGGATTACTTTATCCTATCCCAGGTATTCCTTAAAGAGGTGGGGTTTCAAATGTCTCCGGAAGGTGGTGAGTGACTCCGCTGTCCTGGCGTCGTGAGGGAGCTTGTTCCACCATTGGGGTGCCAGAGCAGCGAACAGTTTTGACTGGGCTGAGCGGGAACTATGCTTCCGCAGAGGAAGGGGAGCCAGCAGGCCAGAGGTGGATGAACGCAATGCCCTCGTCTTGACTCGGTCTCGCCACCCCTCTGGTTTTAGTCTTGAATCGGTCTCTCTTTAGGTGGTCTCGAACGCAACACTGCCTTTAAGGGCCAAATATTAAACTTTAGATAGGTGACCGTATCTGAAATGTCAATGTAAATATCAATTTCATGCTAATGCATGTTTTACAAATTATCTTAAATTGGGATTGAGACGTAAAACAGTGCCTGAAAACTACATCCAGATGTGGTGAAAAGGAATGCCTCGGGGAAACTTTGATCAGATCTGATATAGTACACTCTACAAAATCAGCAAATCTATATCCTCTCCACATTATGAAGCCAGGTTTTATCTAGTGCTGACCACATACAGTAACAGTGAATACCGACGCATTGATTTTCATCTCTGGCAATGGCAATGCACCTTGAGGACAAATATAGCATCTGGAGCCATGCATTGCCAACAGCAAGGTTGTGGATTTCACATAGTCGGTCTGAATGGAGAGATGGAACAGAAGGTGGTGGACAGCAGCTCTTCAAGTCTTGTCTTATGTCTTTCAGTCATTAAATGTTTTCATCAGCTGTCGCAGAGAAGCAGTCCAGACTTTATTTTTACTTTCTTGAGATGGAATGTTGGAAAGATGTTGGAACCAGGGAGGTTCTATGGAAGCTAGCTCTATATCCTGACCCGTCTAACAGCAGCTCTGTGACACCATCCCTCTTAGTCCACCTTCTTAGGCTTGCGATTCTTCCAGGTGACCACTCCAATGAAGGTACCTGAGGAGGAGAAGAAAATGTATAATCTTACTGTTAAGGAGAATAATATGGTCACTGTTCATAAAGGCCAGACTAAAATACAGTAGGTGCCACACACAGATTCACCAATTTGTGTGTACTGCATATGGATCTGTTGTTAAAGTGGAAATGCCTGCATTTTAGCAACATTAAATATATATATTTCTTTACATTTTCTGACAAGCGAGCCATTAGATATGGTCATTTTCACTTTTTCATAAAAAACGTATACTAAGGCATTTGTGAAAATTCTATAGCAATATAAAGTGCGAAAGCGGCCGTGTGTTTGTACAATTAAGACACTGCAGTAAATAAAAGCGAATAAAAACTTTGTCTTGTCCAGGACCGAATTCTACACTGACCGGTGCGCCATAGCCAATCAGAGCTACAGTAGGCCTATATGCAAATAATAATAAGCCATTTAGCAGACGCTTTTATCCAAAGCGACTTACAGTCATGCGTGCATACATTTTTGTGTATGGGTGGTCCCGGGGATCGAACCCACTACCTTGGCGTTACAAGCGCCGTGCTCTACCAGCTGAGCTACAGAGGACCACAAATAAGCCATTTGCGACACGGGCCTGCCATCATTCACTTTGACTGGACTGTGCGTTTACAGGCAGTAGCAACAGCGCAACTTTATATCATTAGAACGCATTCGCCAAAAGCCACAAAATACACCTGAAGGGATTTTTGCAAATACCATAGGAGTCTTATATTTGGGAACTTCACAATCCTATTGATCAAACAACCATGAAAAGGCAGGCTCACTCTCTCTCAGTTGCCTATGCACATCAACAACAAGATCAACAACTAATGCTAGCCAGAGCGAGAGGCGCAAAAATCTAATGAGAGAACATTAGATATACCCTCGCAAACCTTTTCAGCTAGTTGGCTGTCAAAATTGCACTGATAAATGATGGGGAATAGTAGCCTGCTCGTCCTTCTGCAGCTTGCCTGCCAATGCATGCTTGTCAGAACCCATGTTTTGACAACTGAATGGGAACTTGCCTGCCCACCCATTTGATCTATGCCAAATACATTTGATTGACAACTAAGAGATACATTAACTGTGGATAACAGTCGTTCAAGTTCAGCATAGTTAGCTAGGAAATCGATTCACATTTCTTGCTAGCTAACCAAATGACACCTGCAGCATATCCAGCTGTAGCCAATGAAAAATTATATGAGGGGGAAAAGTCGGTCACTCACTCACCCACTCCTCCAATGACATGAGATCCTCCCAGCAGCTAGCTAACGTTAGCATGCTAAAAATACGGAGCCTAAATAAATAGCTACATTTTTTTATTTTTTATTTCACCTTTATTTAACCAGGTAAGCCAGTTGAGAACAAGTTCTCATTTACAACTGCGACCTGGCCAAGATAAAGCATAGTAGTGCGATAAAAACAACAACACAGAGTTACATATGGGGTAAAAAAACATAAAGTCAAAAAATACAATAGAAAATATATATACAGTGTGTGCAAATGTAGCAAGTTATGGAGGTAAGGCAATACATAAATAGATATGCTAGCCCTGGGGTGTCAAAATCAAATCAACGCACAGGCCATATTGAAAAAAACACAACGAATTCGCTGGCCAGACATAGCCTATTTGTATTTTTTTTCAAAAATACATTGTAACTGCGACCCAAACTGGCCATTGTTTTATTTGAAAAAATATGGACCTTTATAATGTCCACTTATTTACATAGGATGCTGTATATAGCATTTTAACATATTGAAACAGATTTAGAGCTAAATAATATTTGTCCAGCCTTTGCTGCTATGCTTGCAGATGTGCATAATATGCTGCGACCATATCAAAAAGTATTTAATAACTCCATATAACAAAAACGTAGCTATAGGTTGTTGTAACATTTAAACTTAAAACATGTTTAGATTTTTTTTGCACTGCATGGATCACCGGTGTGGTTAAATGCAGCATTGCTGTATGGCGCACTCAAAACTTATTGTAGTTGAGTAGCCAGCCTAGGCTACTGCTCAAATGTTGCTCTAATAGGCCTACATGTTTCTCCTTTGCATGGTGTTTTGTTGCAAGTTTAGTTTTTTGGTTATTCATTGTCAAGCTTTAAAAACCAAAGCCAGACTGCAACATTTTAGTAGCCTAGGACTGTGGCATGTGTCTGTACGGTGTATGTACACTTTCCCTCCGCTGCGCACTGTAAACGGGACACACGAAAGTAGCGCAATTGACATTGATTTCACTGATGCGAGCTCATCAGGCTGTAATTTCATAAAGTAGATGACTCAACTGTTGACTCATTTATACTTGCTTGTGTGTTATATCCGGACTGCGGGCCTTGTGTTTGACACATGTGCGCTAGCCTATTAGCCACGTTATGACTGACTTTTGATCATTGCCCTTGCTAGTTTGATTGTTCTGACATTCCCAGCCTTAGTTATAGTCGTCCATTTTTATTCAAAATATTTCTGTCATTGAAACTGAAACAGTGCATCCCGAATGGGTGGAGGCAGCAAACAATGTACCAGGCAAACTGTGATTTACAACCTGATAGCAATATTTTTTGGACTACCAAGAAATGTATTGGTAAATTATATTAATCATGCATTGAACTGCATCCATCTACTTTTCCAACAATGCGTTACTGTACATCATTGAATTTTAAGTCAAATATAACCTATTTTTAAAACCTCTTATAAAGTTGGTTTGAAAGCATAAACGGGGAAATTGATATTTTGACTGATTTGATTGTCTGTTTCATATTAGCAAAGTAGTTAAAACGCTGTCAGTTCCACTTTAAGTTTTGGTGATTTGTAGACCACCAGATAGTCATCACAGCAGCACCTAGCTCAGGGAGATCCTTGTGAACAAACAGAATGCCTTAGAATACTGAGATCCTATGTCTATCCAGTCCTTTCAGATCTACAGGCTGAGGGAAGGGACCAAAACATTGGATTAGAACCCATCCAATGTAGCATTCCAGAACTCACCTACACAGAGCAGCAGTATCAATGCTGCGATCCCAGGTAGAATGACAGAATACTCCCGTGGAAGAAAATACTGGTGGGCCACATGATCGCTGTCCACGAACGGCTGGAAAAGGTACAATATCAGTCAAGTTAGTCAGTGGACAGAAAAACAAAATCATCTTCTATTGGATTTCAGGCAACAAGTTTAACTAGCAGATCTAATCTATAGCCTGGTCCCAGAATGGATTGTGCGGTCTTGGCAAATCATTGGTATGCCATGGCAGATGTTGGCAAAACAGCACAAACAGATCTTGGACCAGAATAGCAGATCTAGGCTATAAATTACCTACCAGAATGATTACCCATATTGTGTAGTATGTAAACAACAGGAGGCTGAAGCCAACAAGGCCCATGCCAACTGCTTGATCTGCCCCTGTGGCCTAAATTGAATTAAGACAAAATGTATGAGTGTGAGGTTAAAATAGCTAATGCATCAAGCTATTATTGAGATATGGATAGCTATTATTACTAATAATAAGAACACTTAGTACGCATGGCTAGATAGCTATAAGGATAAGGTGATTCATATAGCTAACAAGGCAAACTAGTTAACACTACAACGTTTCATTTGATAATCTGGCTAGGTGATAAAATGAACCATGCATGACACATGTAAAAAAAAATTTTTTTTTAAAGACAATAGTGTGATAGATTGCGGTAACTAACATACAGTACAGACAGGTTTGAGAGATTATCTAGGAAGCTAGCTAGCTAAACCAGTTTAGCATACACCCCTTCTGGCTTTGACTTGGTCTCTGGAACTTCCCTAACGACATATTATCAGATAATCCGTATATAACTAAATAGGCTTGTGGCTATATATAAAAATGGCAGCATTATGCAGGGTAATTCACAACATCAAGCAAATACTAGCCCTTGTAAATATCTCTCACCATTTCCGACGTGTTGTTTCCGCGTATGAATCACTTCCGCAAGCTGCGAGCGTGACCCGGATGTGGAAGATAATTGGGTTTTTCAAGTTTCGTTTTTATTGTCACGTGCACATTACAGTGGAATGCCTTTCTTGCGAGCTCTTTCCCAACAATGCAGTAATCAATATCAGTATACTATAAAGAAAAAGTGAAGTAGAACAAAAACACACAATAAATAGAAATAAGATTAACACGAGAAAGTAAGTAAGCTTATAATATACAGGGTCATGCTATATACAACTCTTGAGAGTTGGAGTTGTATCAAATAGGTTTCCCACTCTCTTTGGTTGTATGACAGCATCTATAAAGGTTCTCTGTACAAGCCAGGCAGACTAGAGCACCTTGCCAAAAGTGATTCAAATTGAAAGTAATTCTGTTAAAATGTTATCATAATTTACTATTATTAGGCCTGCTACATACATTACTGTTCTTCTGTTTGTCAGTGGTGTGAAGTACTTAAGTAAAAATACTTTAAAGTACTACTTAAGTCGTTTTTTTGTGTATCTGTACATTACTTTACTATTTATATTTTTGACAACTTTGACTGTGACTTCACTACATTCCAATAGAAAATAATGTACTTTTTACTCCATACATTTTACCTGACACCCAAATGTACTTGTTACATTTTGAATGCTTTGCAGGACAGGAAAATGGTCCAATTCACGCACTTATCAAGATACCATCCCTGGTCATCCCTACTGCCTCTGATCTGGCGGACTCACTTAACACAAATGCATCTTTGTAAATGATGTCTGAGTGTTGGAGTGTGCCCCTGGCTATCTGTAAATAAAAAAAACAAGACAATGGTGCTGTCTGTTTTGCTTTATATAAGGAATTTGAAATGATTTATACTTTTGATACTTAAGTATATTTGAGCAATTACATTTACTTTTGATACTTAAGTATATTTACAACCAAATACATTTAGAATTTTACTCAAGTAGTATTTTACTGAGTGACTTTCACTTTTACTTGAGTAACTTTCTATTAAGGTATCTATACTTTTACTCAAGTATGACAATTGGGTACTTTTTCCACCACTGCCATTTGTCAATTGCTGTTGGGTTCCCTCTCAAATTTGTAGGCCTACCCATAGTAGAGTAATACCACCTATGAATCTATTTCAACATCCTCATTGGTAAATGTGAATGTGGCCACCCAACATCTTGTCAAAGTGGTACCAGCTGGAGGATTCATTACCTGACATCTCAATCACATGTAAGTGATGGGTGTGTCCTTAAGATACTAGTGTACACGTGTAACTCAGACATATTTCCACTACAAGATGGAGTCAAAGTAACAGCATGATCATCACTGATGTATAGCTTCCTGTATGAAATTCTGAGCTGCATTGTATTATCAATGTGTAATAAATCAGCCCAAAAGTTTTTCAGATGCCCAACAATAGCTTTATTTCCACAAAATATGACATTTACACTGTTCAAATAGACATTCACAATTTAAAATAGGAAACTTTAGAATAGTGTGTAGAAATATAGTTCCAATTCATCACGTCACAGTGTACCTCCACATGTGAGTTTAAAGTGATTGATTTATTCTATTTTAGGAGAAAATAATAAGATGAGAAAACTTTGGAGCAATGCCTGCGTGTGTGTGTAAAATAAATATCTCACAATAATTCTGGAAAATCTGAAAAATAGTAATTTCAATAGCCGTCTATTGATATAAATTCATTAAATGTTTTTTAAAAAAATCATAGACATCTCATATCTTTATTCATATTCTTATTCTTAATCAAGGTCATGAGTTTGTGTGGATCTCTCGGAGAGTCTTGGACTCGTGTGCATAGTTTTAAAATCAATTTACAAAGATGACAAAATGACAGGTATAAAATGAAGGTTAAATAATTAAAATAGGTAAAATGTTAAGTCAAGATAGCCAGACCTAAGAGCTGTTATGATATCATACCGGCCAAGTTTTCAGAGGGAGGAATAGCATATCTGGTCCCCATTCAATCATGGTTCCTCTACCTACTGAGCTGACGAGCCTTAGGAAAGGCCCATGTGAGTTTTTGAACCATGAAAGTGATTTACAGTACTCCCCCTTGGTCTTTCAGAGAGCAATCTCAGTCTGTTGACTGCCATCATCTACCTACCAAATTCTTCAACCCACAAAATGGAGGGGATATTGTGGTTGATTTAAAAAGCGATGACAAATATCGGATGAGGTGTTGCATCAGAGAAATCTCACCCTGTGTTGATTCATTCATATTTCAAATATGCAGGAGAATGTCCTTGGCACTCCATTTTTGACAGCAGAACCTCATGGTTCTACTCTGGTTACAAACAGTCAAGTATGTAGGAAAACAGAACCCAAACAATACAAGGAATATACAACAAGCCCTCTTGTACAAATAATAACAGTAGCAGGAGAATCAGAAATAATAAATTATTTCAACTCTTTAGTGTAGTCCCCCCAAAAAATTATACTAGATTTTTCAGTGTTACAAAGAAGAGCACAGGTTTTCCAATACATCTCCACTGCATACAAAAAGTAAACCAGCGAGCTGGTTTGGAAATACAAAAAACTTAAATATTCATAAAGTGTTTGCCATTATAACCATTATCAGTTTGTCATTAATAAAAATGATTATTATACTACTAAGAGACAGTGTAACGTAATGAAAGAGGCAGAGTGAAACAAAGATAGTAGTTTTGTTGTAAAATAAGCTCCCGTTAAAATACACAGATTCAGTGTCTTACTTACAGTGGGGAAAATAAGTATTTAGTCAGCCACCAATTGTGCAAGTTCTCCCACTTAAAAAGATGAGAGAGGCCTGTAATCTTCATCATAGGTACACATCAACTATGACAGACAAATTGAGAAAAGAAAATCCAGAAAATCACATTGTAGGATTTTTAATGAATTTATTTGCAAATTATGGTGGATATAAGTATTTGGTCACCTACAAACAAGCAAGATTTCTGGCTCTCACAGACCTGTAACTTCTTCTTTAAGAGGCTACTCTGTCCTCCACTCGTTACCTGTATTAATGGCACCTGTTTGAACTTGTTATCAGTATAAAAGACACCTGTCCACAACCTCAAACAGTCACACTCCAAACTCCACTATGGCCAAGACCAAAGAGCTGTCAAAGGACACCAGAAACAAAATTGTAGACCTGCACCAGGCTGGGAAGACTGAATCTGCAATAAGTAAGCAGCTTGGTTTGAAGAAATCAACTGTGGGAACAATTATTCGGAAATGGAAGACATACAAGACCACTGATAATCTCCCTCGATCTGGGGCTCCACGCAAGATCTCACCCCGTGGGGTCAAAATGATCACAAGAACGGTGAGCAAAAATCCCAGAACCACACGGGGGGACCTAGTGAATGACCTGCAGAGAGCTGGGACCAAAGTAACAAAGCCTACCATCAGTAACACACTACGCCGCCAGGGACTCAAATCCTGCAGTGTCAGACGTGTCCCCCTGCTTAAGCCAGTACATGTCCAGGCCTGCCTGAAGTTTGCTAGAGTGCATTTGGATGATCCAGAAGAGGATTGGGAGAATGTCATATGGTCAGATGAAACCAAAATAGAACTTTTTGGTAAAAACTCAACTCGTCGTGTTTGGAGGACAAAGAATGCTGAGTTGCATCCAAAGAACACCATACCTACTGTGAAGCATGGGGGTGGAAACATCATGCTTTGGGGCTGTTTTTCTGCAAAGGGACCAGGACGACTGATCCGTGTAAAGGAAAGAATGAATGGGGCCATGTATCGTGAGATTTTGAGTGAAAACCTCCTTCCATCAGCAAGGGCATTGAAGATGAAACGTGGCTAGGTCTTTCAGCATGACAATGATCCCAAACACACCGCCCGGGCAACGAAGGAGTGGCTTCGTAAGAAGCATTTCAAGGTCCTGGAGTGGCCTAGCCAGTCTCCAGATCTCAACCCCATAGAAAATCTTTGGAGGGAGTTGAAAGTCCGTGTTGCCCAGCGACAGCCCCAAAACATCACTGCTCTAGAGGAGATCTGCATGGAGGAATGGGCCAAAATACCAGCAACAGTGTGTGAAAACCTTGTGAAGACTTACAGAAAACGTTTGACCTGTGTCATTGCCAACAAAGGGTATATAACAAAGTATTGAGAAACTTTTGTTATTGACCAAATACTTATTTTCCACCATAATTTGCAAATAAATTCATAAAAAATCCTACAATGTAATTTTCTGGATTTTTTTTTCTCATTTTGTCTGTCATAGTTGATGTGTACCTATGATGAAAATTAAATACTTTTTTCCCCCACTGTATATCAAGTTGATGAAATAGAGGTGAATGGTCCACATCAGTTTGACACAATAAAATAAAGCGAAGAAGAATGTCTGCGTCGTTAACACTTCCCCATGCATGTGTATTCATGTCAGTGGAGTTTTAGCTTATGCATTCAATGTTTCCTTTTTTCAAGGACATAGAGTACACCCATTCAGTATGCGCAGCAACATCTACAATGACAATGATGCAAGTTGGAGAATGAAACGAAAACAAAAGCACATTGCAACAGCACAAAAAGCCCCATTTTTTTTGGGACATTTTCTCTCTGTGCCTCTGAATGTCAAATCTCAGTATGCTATGAATGTCTGGTGTGGTGTAAATAAAACACATCCTCGTTAGGAAGCTATGTTGAGGCTACAGGTGTGTAGATAAAAGTCCATTATCACTTTTCCTTTGAAAGACATGTTAATTGAGCAGACTAAGGGCGAAAAGACAGGCTAAGCATTAGGTGCGTTTTCCTGCTGAGGACTCAGATCAACTGAAAGGATCCTCAGGGGCCAAGAATCGTAAGACAGGCGAGTGGCAAGCTGTTTTGATTTCAGCCCACATACACAATTCAACTTGCACACGCACGTACGTTTGCAGCACAGACACACACACACACAAACACGCATGCACACAGACAGACACACACACGAATGCACTGACATTCACATGAAAAATACGCAGACTAACACACACACTTGGACACACACAAACTCACACTTTCTCGTTCCCTCTCCCTCCCTCACAAAGATGTACGCAGGCACAAACACGCCTACAAGAGGACATTGTCATTTGGGGATGAGGGTGGAGCGTCTTCTGAAAACCCTCCATTGTTAGCCAGGTGCATTGTGACACATGGGGCAGCTGCATGAGACATGGCTCTGATTGACTCTGACTACATCATACCCACAATGCAATGCTCTTCTAACGCGTTCAAAACCGGGGGCGACAGAAATGAAATTACATTTCCCCCCAGGAAATTGAATAACTTGGTCATTGTGGAGAAGATGACCAGATACCACTGTCAGTTGTATCATTAGAGCCCTTATTCACTTGTAAATTGATTTTGCTTGATAACGAGTCAACATCTCGGGTGATATTGAGTCTTAAGTGGAAGGGCAACAGTTGGACAGTTCATATTGCCAAGCCCACATAGAAGGTATTTCACAAAGAAGGATTAAGAAGTTAGCCAGCTAACTTTAGTAACCCACTTCAGTAACTTAACCACTTATTATGGGCCCCAATTCAATAAAAATCAGTAACCAGGTTTAAAAAACAATGCTCTTCCCTTGCAGCGAGAAAGCAAGTTTGAAATAACATGCGGTCGAGTTTCCTTTTGTGTCACACTGTAAAAATTGGTTTGTTGAGAACACCAATCCAAAAGTGCTTTTTTGCAGCTCAGGAAGAGTTTTATAATTATCCCAGAACCTGGTAACTGACAGCTCCTGTCCTTGACAACAGGGAGGGATGTCATGGGCGTGGTGACACAAAACAATTAGGTCTGAAATACAGGACAGATGAGTGACAGCCCAGGGACAAAACAATACAGGGAAACCAACCATCCATATATCCTGAGACAGACACGGGACTGACAACAAAGAGAAATGTCCCTACCTACCAAGAAAAGTTTAGTCAGATTTTCCAACTTTTACAGTACAGTCACCAAGCCAGCTGGTGAACTTCAGAATAGTGTTTTACTTTAAGGACGTAAAGAAGACTATGTAAAAGACCCAAGGTAGGAGAGGACCAAGGGCCTAGACTAGAGTAATCAATTACCAACCCTGCCTGCATTTACCTAGAGTAATCGATTAATCATACATAGACCATGGCAGTATGTACAGTTGCATATGGCCAGCCATATGTGCACACATTTATCTTTCTCAGGTCTGTATATAAACTGTATTGTCATATTACATATTTATATGCATATATTCTATAACATGGGTTATTTGGGCTATACAGTAACTTTGACCCCAGGTCTAGTACGGTTGTTCTGGAATTTGACGATTGCAAGGGGTTAATCGAAAATATAACATTTCACATTGAAAACCACCCATTCAAGCCTAGTTCAAATGGTCTGTTCAATTTCTCCAAGTCTTTCTTGATTTTAGCATGATCCCCTCATTTGAATTGATACACAAAATTATACACATAGGGTAAACCATAATGTTTCAACTTGAGGCAGCCACATTTGACTCCAATGCCCTTTCCTGATTTTCAGTGTTGCACTACAACTTCCACGATGCAATGGTTTCCCATTTCTCTGTTTATCAAGTAGTTTGCACACTTTACACCTACGGTCCCCCAAATGAAAGCATCGATATAAAAGCTTTTCTACATTAATGTATTATTCATACGTTACACCTCCCACCTACATCACCTTAAATATCTGATTAAAGGGTTACATCTATTATATAGTGGTGTTCGTTGAAGTGGTGTATATCAAAAGGCAGCCAGCCGTATGTGCATTTGTGCACACAGACACACACACAAAACGTTAACAGTTCAAAATAGTGGAGGTGTCTTCAGTGTCCCTTGTGTCCTCCTTTTCTCAGCAGCTGAGAGAGGGAGTGAGGTGGAGGGAGGGAGGTAGAGAGAAAGAGAGATTTGACATCCATCCATCCTCATTGCTAGTGGCTCTCGATCACCACTGGCTCAAAGACACCAGCAGTCACCCTACAGGAAGCACATAAGAAGAGGAAGGGGTTCATTTCTTTATTTGATTACCTTAACAAATGATATGTTCTTGATCATATCATAACATACTGTACGCAGATATTCTTGCATGCACAACTCACCTGCTTCCCAGTTGTATCCCACTTAAGGCTGTAGTCCCATCTTTGCCGACAAACAGTCTGAGGTTGCTGTCTGTGTGTGGCAGCAAGAATGAAAGAGAGCGAGAGGGCACACAGAGGGATAAAATAGGGAGAAGAAGAGAGAGAAGCACAACGTTATCACCGTGTGGTCACGCTCACTGTCGTCATTTTCTATGTGCTATTCCATCAACACGATCTTCACAACTAGTCTTCGCCGTTCCGTCACGGCTACTCCCCTCCGCGTTACCTTCTTTATGGCTGCTGACATCAGCAAAGTTCTGGCTCTGGATGATCTTGTCCACGATGTCGTCGGCGTCGACGCGCGTGTCGTCCACCCTGGTGGGGTGGCTTTCCACTGAGTCTTTCTTCCTCCTGGCAGGTCACATGACATGGTTAACCAACAACACCTGATTTCTCAGCCGTCAGTGATTGTGGTGCGGTTAACCAGTAACACCTGAGCACAGCTATTACTATCAAACGCTTTTTAGGTTGTAGTAGTCTAATTATTTGACGTGTCAGATACTGTTCTTTGACGTGTATCTTTTTGACACGGTACGCCTGAACAGGGTTTGATATATTACTGCAGAAAAGTAATTGGTTCTGGTGCAGGAATGAAGCACCAGAACCAGCAACCCAGCAACATTTTGGATATTTGGGAATAAATGTCATGACATACAGTACCAGTCAAAAGTTTGGACACACCTACTCATTCAAGGGTTTTTATTTATTTTTACTATTTTCTACATTGTAGAATATTAGTGAAGACATCAAAACTATGAAATAACACATATGGATTCATGTAGTAACCAAACAAGTGTTAAACAAATCAAAATACATGTTATATTTGAGATTCTTCAAATAGCCACCCTTTGCCTTGATGGAGGGCTGCATCAGATGACCTGGCCTCCACAATCCCCTGACCTCAACCCAATTGAGATGGTTTGGGATGAGTCGCACCGCAGAGTGAAGGAAAAGCAGCCAACAAGTGCTAAGCATATGTGGGAACTCCTTCAAGACTGTTGGAAAAGCATTCCAGGTGAAGCTGGTTGAGAGAATGCCAAGAGTGTGCAAAGCTGTCATCAAGGCAAAGGGTGGCTATTTGAATAATCTCAAATATATGTTTTGGTTACTACATGATTCCATATGTGTTATTTCATAGTTTTGATGTCTTTACCATTATTCTACAATGTATAAAATAGTAAAAATAAAGAAAAACCTATGTGTGCGTGTGCTGTGGCTTGCCTGGAGGATCTGTTGGAGAGCAGGACGGGGCGTGGGGGCCGCGTGGGTCTCTCAGGCTTGGTGCCTGGCTCTCCTGGTGTCTGGGGGTCTGCTGTGAGAGGGTGGGGGTGGGCAAAGGCGTGGGGGGTCTGGGTAGGGGTGCCCAGGCCCCCGGAGGTGCTGCTGCTGGTTGAGGCGTTGCGGCGGTGGGTGAGGTCTGTCAGGCTGGAGGAGCGAGAGTGTTCCGTGCTGTAGCCTGGGAGAGAAGGGGAGGGCATACAAGTCAATAAGACCCCCACACACACTGTGCAGGCACATACAGTACACATTGGCACGCACACACACACATACACACACAGTATTGTCATATAACCCTATGACTGATATAATTTATCCATCATTCTCCTCCCCAGTCATGAAATCAAGGTATCTTTTAGATCAAATCACTCAAACCAAATTGAGTTAGTCCAGGGCTAAGATGTCATCTGTGGTCGAATGAACGCGCCCTGACTTACATTTTACATTTAGCAGACACTCTTATCCAGAGTGACTTACAATTCGTACATTCATCTTATGACAGCTGGGCGAGAGAACCACATATCACAGTCGTAGCAAGTACATTTCCCCTCAATATAGTAGTTATCAAGAAAGTCAGTGCAAGTAACTATGGCCCTGTGGCAACATGCTCCAGGGCAAAAATTCCCCTGGGTACAGATCTTCGATCAGCTTCCCCTCCACCAATCCTAACCTTAACCATGCCAAACTGACCAAAGATCAGTGCCTAGGGGCCACTTCACCCTACTGCTGCCAACATACACAATAGCACAATAGTAAGTATGGCACCAGTCTGGTGTTCAACCTTCCCAAGTTCTCTCACGTCACCCCGCTCCTCCGCACACTACACTGGCTTCCAGTTGAAGCTCGCATCTGCTAAAAGACCATGGTGCTTGCCTACGGAGCTGTGAGGGGAACGGCACCTCCGTACCTTCAGGCTCTGATCAGTCCCTACACCCAAACGAGGGCATTGCGTTCATCCACCTCTGGCCTGCTGGCCCCCCTACCTCTGCTGAAGCACAGTTCCCGCTCAGCCCAGTCAAAACTGTTCGCTGCTCTGGCACCCCAATGATGGAACAAGCTCCCTCACGACGCCAGGACAGCGGAGTCACTCACCACCTTCCGGAGACATTTGAAACCCCACCTCTTTAAGGAACACCTGGGATAGGATAAAGTAATCCTTCTACCCCACCAAAAAAAATAAAATAATAATAATAATAATAGTAAAGTGGTTCTCCCACTGGCTATAAGGTGAATGCACCAATTTGTAAGTCGCTCTGGATAAGAGAGTCTGCTAAATGACGTAAATGTAAAGAAGCTAACTGACCTGATATCTTGCTCTGCTGGCTGGCGTAGCTGGAGTTCCGGGAGTGTCCTGTGTGTAACACTTCATCTGGGCTGGACAGGCTCTGCTCCAAGTGCTCCCCAGGTAGACCTGGAGCCACAACACAACACACAGGATGATGTTAGCTTTCTGTGGCATGAAATGCAACTTTTTTCAAACAAAATATAGCATGTTACAAATGGCATCCTGTATGGACAACAGGAGAGTCAACTTATTCAAAACGACACAAATAAACGATTAAATAGATAATACATTAAAGGGGAAATCTGCGTTGGGTACATACATTTTTGGACTTTGTTTTTGTTTGAACTGCAGATTGCCCCTTTAATAAAGTTTCAGCAATCTGATGTCGTACCAGAGTTGAGGGGAGCTGAGGGGAGTCTGGGTTTGAGGGGCCGTCCTGATAATGTCCTGGTGATACCCCCTGGGGGAGGGTTATAGTTGTCATCGGAGCCCTCGCCCTTACAGTCCAGCTGCAGGGACGGGTCCTGGCCCGGGATGGAGATGAACTTGGCCGTGCTGGGGGGCCTATAGGATCAAAGGTCAAATAAAAATAAACCATTCAATCATTTAGTAGTTATAGTATGAAGTAATCATAGTAAGCATTAAATACATATTAATTGGATTATATCTTATATCATTTTAACCAAGAGCCCCAAAATACAGAAAAGATTGATTGAGGAAAACTCTTTGGATGAGAGTGAAAGAGAGCAAAAGGAGGAAATCCTGAGGATCCAGAATCTGAGGTGATTTATTTTATGATATAGATTGTGGCCAAAAGGTGGCGCCAGAGGTCCAACTCACGTTTTAAAGCAGGGATCCCCCGACAGAAGTGTGATTCCAATAATAACCTAGAGAAAAGACAATAACATTATCATCATTATCATACATAATCTTTATCAATATTATTGTAGAATGTTACAACAGAACACTTCAACTACCGGTGTACCTCCTTTGTGTTGAAAGAACTACAGTTTTTTACCCTCATTGCATACAAAAGTAAAGCATGTATGATAGCTACAGTGGGGGAAAAAAGTATTTAGTCAGCCACCAATTGTGCAAGTTCTCCCACTTAAAAAGATGAGAGAGGCCTGTCATTTTCATCATAGGTACACGTCAACTATGACAGACGAATTGAGAAAAAATAATCCAGAAAATCACATTGTAGGATTTCTTATGAATTTATTTGCAAATTATGGTGGAAAATAAGTATTTGGTCACCTACAAACAAGCAAGATTTCTGGCTCTCACAGACCTGTAACTTCTTCTTTAAGAGGCTCCTCTGTCCTCCACTCGTTACCTGTATTAATGGCACCTGTTTGAACTTGTTATCAGTATAAAAGACACCTGTCCACAACCTCAAACAGTCACACTCCAAACTCCACTATGGCCAAGACCAAAGAGCTGTCAAAGGACACCAGAAACAAAATTGTAGACCTGCACCAGGCTGGGAAGACTGAATCTGCAATAGGTAAGCAGCTTGGTTTGAAGAAATCAACTGTGGGAGCAATTATTAGGAAATGGAAGACATACAAGACCACTGATAATCTCCCTCGATCTGGGGCTCCACGCAAGATCTCACCCTGTGGGGTCAAAATGATCACAAGAACGGTGAGCAAAAATCCCAGAACCACACGGAGGGACCTAGTGAATAACCTGCAGAGAGCTGGGACCAAAGTAACAAAGCCTACCATCAGTAACACACTACGCCGCCAGGGACTCAAATCCTGCAGTGCCAGACGTGTCCCCCTGCTTAAGCCAGTACATGTCCAGGCCCGTCTGAAGTTTGCTAGAGTGCATTTGGATGATCCAGAAGAGGATTGGGAGAATGTCATATGGTCAGATGAAACCAAAATAGAACTTTTTGGTAAAAACTCAACTCGTCGTGTTTGGAGGACAAAGAATGCTGAGTTGCATCCAAAGAACACCATACCTACTGTGAAGCATGGGGGTGGAAACATCATGCTTTGGGGCTGTTTTTCTGCAAAGGGACCAGGACGACTGATCCGTGTAAAGGAAAGAATGAATGGGGCCATGTATCGTGAGATTTTGAGTGAAAAACTCCTTCCATCAGGAAGGGCATTGAAGATGAAACGTGGCTGGGTCTTTCAGCATGACAATGATCCCAAACACACCGCCCGGGCAACGAAGGAGTGGCTTCGTAAGAAGTATTTCAAGGTCCTGGAGTGGCCTAGCCAGTCTCCAGATCTCAACCCCATAGAAAATCTTTGGAGGGAGTTGAAAGTCCGTGTTGCCCAGCGACAGCCCCAAAACATCACTGCTCTAGAGGAGATCTGCATGGAGGAATGGGCCAAAATACCAGCAACAGTGTGTGAAAACCTTGTGAAGACTTACAGAAAAAGTTTGACCTGTGTCATTGCCAACAAAGGGTATATAACAAAGTATTGAGAAACTTTTGTTATTGACCAAATACTTATTTTCCACCATAATTTGCAAATAAATTCATAAAAAATCCTACAATGTGATTTTCTGGAGAAAAAAAATCTCATTTTGTCTGTCATCATTGACGTGTACCTATGATGGAAATTACAGGCCTCTCTCATCTTTTTAAGTGGGAGAACTTGCACAATTGTTGGCTGACTAAATACTTTTTTTTCCCCACTGTATGTGAGTAAGTTTGATAAAAAGAGTCAGGTTCGAAATAAGCCACAAGAGTGGCACCTGGCAAGATCAGTCTATTCATCCATTTAGGGGCCCTACGGGGCCCATAGTGACTGTGCAAATAACTGTCCACTCTAAATGCCTATGCAACCTGAACAATTCCCGAACAAGTCTCAGCATGGCCTTGCTCCCTCTGTTTCACCACCATGTGTACAAAGACAAGTGCAGAGGCCATGTCTTTGCAAATGGGGCTTCAATGAGCTCATGTGGACCTGTGTATGTGTGTGGTGTGTGTGTGTGGTTACCTTGAGAATGGAGTTATCCTGGCGAGAATTCTTGGTGTCGTAGCCCTCGAGGATACAGCAGCGCACGGTGGAGCCTGAGCCAGCAAACTCCGCCATGTTGAGGTCAGCAAAGCCCAGCTGCAGGGAGAGTGGAAGAGAGAGAGAGAGAGAGAGAGAGAGAGAGAGAGAGAGAGAGAGAGAGAGAGAGAGAGAGAGAGAGAGAGAGAGAGATGATGATAACAAATTGCGTATAGAAAACCTGTATACTGTTATCAGAATAGAATGACAATTCTCTGGTATACTGGTACTCATGTGGTTACCAACTATCCATTACATACACCTGTCCCCCATTGTAATAAGGCTTTCCCTTGGTATTACTGTACTTAGGCATGTTTCCTTTCAGTGTGAGATGGGTGGTTTCAAAGCAGCTACCCAATGGGACTGGCACACACACACATCATGCATTTTGTATAAGCCTGACGTGCATATTGGCTTTTGGCATGCCGTTTCAGCCTTTTTACTCTACTTGATGGGAGGTGAGCGAAGGGCTAACACACACCACCCCCAAAAGAGCTGTTACATAACTATCCATGTGAGGCTGGCGAGATCACCCAACCGTGATGCCTCTAACTCTATTAGGGACAAGTAGTTCTCTCTCTCCCTCTCTCTCTATTCAGCTGACATTCCGGTACAGTGCCTTCTTCCCGGATGAACGGGGTCAGCAAATATGGAGGAAAGAAGGGGAACAGGGAAGCACAATCTCAATGATAACATCCACCCAGCCTTAACACACACACAGGCAGGCAGAGATGCACGCACACACGCATTTACACACACATCCTTCTTTAATGGACAAGGGGAGAACCATGTTCTCACACCTTCCTCTTAGATAAAGAAACTGGTGCCTTAAGGCCAACAGTCACATGCCTTTTCAATAATCAGCACTAGAATCATGTTTGGCCTCTGCCCTGTCTCTTCACACTATGAGTGCTTCCCAGTTTCCATGCACTGTCTTCAATGTCAAAAAGGACAATACATGTTCCTACTAAACAGTGTGTGACAAGAGACAAAAGATGTTATAATATCTTAATGCACTACTTCTTCTAAAGCACAAGTATACACACAATGATAAGGCTACCATTTTTCAGTCATTTCTAGAAATCCAAAGGGCCTATTGGTGATGGCCCTATCCACAGTACTTAGTTACGGTTCTGACTAGATAGAATACCGCTTATTTAAAATGGACTTCTCCTAGCATGTTAGGAGAACTTACGCAGCAGGTTACGAGAATAAATGTAGCAGGTAAGGAGAATTAAGTTAAGGTTAGGGTTAGCTAAAATGCTACATTTTCCAACTTCAATATGACATGAGCTGTATCCAATCGAGACATGACCCTTAGCTACCTGTGTTAAACACTGACTGGGAAACTTGGTAGGTCACACCTAAAAACTTAGGTCAGGGTCACTGAAGAGCTAAAAGGGTTCCACACAGTTTACTGTCAACTAGTGGAAACCCTATAAACTATAAACACTATTGATGGAAAAGGGAAAAAGTAGTCCATGTCGCTGTCCTATTTTACCAACCATCCCCAAAAGTCCCATCCTGTGTCACAATGCTTTGTCACATGTACAGTTGAAGTCGGAAGTTTACATACACTTAGGTTGGAGTCATTAAAACTTGTTTTTCAACCACTCCACACATTTCTTGTTAACAAACTATAGTTTTGGCAAGTCGGTTAGGACATCTACTTTGTGCATGACACAAGTAATTTGTCCAACAATTGTTGACAGACAAATTATTTAACTTATAATTCACTGTATCACATGTCCAGTGGGTCAGAAGTTTACATACACTAAGTTGACTGTGCCTTTAAACAGCTTGGAAAATTACAGAAAATGATGTCATGGCTTTAGAAGCTTCTGATGGGCTAATTGACATCATTTGAGTCAATTGGAGGTGTACCTGTGGATGTATTTCAAGGCCTACCTTCAAACTCAGTGCCTCTTTGCTTGACATCATGGGAAAATCAAAAGAAATCAGCCAAGACCTCATAAAAACAATTGTAGACCTCCACAAGTCTGGTTCATCCTTGGGAGCAACTTCCAAACGCCTGAGGGTACCACGTTCATCTGTACAACCAATAGTACGCAAGTATAAACACCATGGGACCACGCAGCCGTCATACCGCTCAGGAAGGAGACGCGTTCTGTCTCCTAGAGATGAAAGTACTTTGGTGCGAAAAGTACAAATCAATCCCAGAACAACAGCAAAGGACCTTGTGAAGTTGCTGGAGGAAACAGGTACAAAAGTATTTATATCCAGAGTAAAACGAGTCCTATATCGACATAATCTGAAAGGCCGCTCAGCAAGGAAGAAGCCACTGCTCCAAAATCGGCATAAAAAAGCCACACTACGGTTTGCAACTGCACATGGGGACAAAGATCGTACTTTTTGGAGAAATGTCCTCTGGTCTGATTAAACAAAAATAGAACTGGTTGGCCATAATGACCATCGTTATGTTTGGAAGAAAAAGTGGGTCGCTTGCAAGCCGAAGAACACCATCCCAACCGTGAAGCACGGGGGTGGCAGCATCATGCTGTGGGGGTGCTTTGCTGCAAGAGGGACTGGTGCACTTCACAAAATAGATGGCATCATGAGGAAGGAAAATTATGTGGATATATTGAAGCAACATCTCTTTGACATCAGTCAGGAAGTTAAAGCTTGGTCGCAAATGGGTCTTCCAAATGGACAATGACCCCAAGCATTATTCCAAAGTTGTGGCAAAATGGCTAAAGGACAACAAAGTCAAGGTATTGGAGTGGCCATCACAAAGCCCTGATCTCAATCCTATAGAACATTTGTGAGCAGAACTGAAAAGGCGTGTACGAGCAAGGAGGCCTATAAACCTGACTCAGTTACACCAGCTCTGTCAGGAGGAATGGGCCAAAAGTGACCCAATTTATTGTGGGAAGCTTGTGGAAGGCTACCCGAAACGTTTGACCCAAGTTAAACAATTTAAAGGCAATGCTACCAAATACTAATTGAGTGTATGTAAACTTCTGACCCACTGGGAATGTGATGAAAGAAATAAAAGCTGAAACTGTGTTTAAATGTATTTGGCTAAGGTGTATGTAAACTTCCGACTTCAACTGTACAAGGAATTTCTCAAAGCTGCTAATGAGAACCTTGATGACCTTGTACCTAGCCGGTGGGAATTTCAGTGAGGTGCCCCCACCTAGGTAGTGGCAGTGCTGACAACACTAGCTGCAGTAACCCATGGGGAGGGGGGTCACACTCGGACAATCAGAAAGGGAGCAAATTATTGTGGCCCTGGTGGCACAAAATAATCAAAAGGTCTGACTGCACAGAGATGCATGGGAAAATGGTCACAACAGGGGACCAGCATGTGTGTGTTTTAGGGTAGGGGGGCTGAGCTCCATCAGTTAGGATGACATTACTACACATATTATTTGTTAATTGTGGAAATAAATTAAGATATGCAAGATTTCTTTATACAGTGAGAAAAAAATTGTCTGATCCCCTGCTGATTTTGTACATTTGCCCACTGAAAAAGAAATTATCAGTCTATAATTTTTATGGTAGGTTTATTTGAACAGTGAGAGGCAGAATAACAAAAAAATCCAGAAAAACCCATGTCAAAAATGTTATAAATTGATTAGCATTTTAACGAGGGAAATAAGTATTTCACCCCCTCTCAATCAGAAAGATGTCTGGCTCAAAGGTGTCTTTTATACAGGTAACGAGCTGAGATTAGGAGCACACTCTTAAAGGGAGTGCTCCTAATCTCAGTTTGTTACCTGTATAAAAGACACCTGTCCACAGAAGCAATCAATCAATCAGATTCCAAACTCTCCACCATGGCCAAGACCAAAGAGCTCTCCAAGGATGTCAGGGACAAGATTGTAGACCTACACAAGGCTGGAATGGGCTACAAGACCATCGCCAAGCAGCTTGGTGAGAAGGTGACATCCCCAAAGCCGTAGTTCTGCTCCACCGGGCTGAGCTTCTTTGAGAAGAACGGCCCACCCTTCAACAGAGATGTAATGGGAGCTGCGACCTTGCCAAAGCCCCGGATAAACCTCCGATAATAGTTGGCGAAGCCAAGGAAGCGCTGCACCTCCTTAACCGTGGTTGGAGTCGGCCAATTACGCACGGCTGCAATGCGGTTGCCCTCCATCTCCACACCGGTGGTAGAAATGCGGTATCCGAGGAAGGAGACGGACTGCTGGAAAAACATACACTTTTCTGCCTTAGCATAAAGGTAATTTTCCAACAGTCGGGCCAGTACTTTGCGAACCAAGGACACATGCTCGGCGCGTGTAGCGGAATACACCAAGATGTCATCGATGTAGACCACTACACCGCGACCAAGCATGTCCCGAAACACCTCGTTCACAAAGGACTGGAAGACTGAGGGAGCATTCATCAAACCATAGGGCATCACCAGGTATTCATAATGCCCCGTGGTTGTGCTGAATGCTGTCTTCCACTCATCTCTCTCTCGGATACGCACCAGGTTGTACGCACTCCTGAGATCTAATTTAGTGAAGAAGCGCGCTCCATGCAATGACTCAACTACTGACGGAATGAGGGGGAGAGGATAACTAAATCTAATCGTCTCCTTGTTCAGTGGTTGATAGTCAATGTACGGGCGCAGAACGCCGTCTTTCTTCTTCACAAAAAAGAAACTCGAGGAGGCGGGTGAAGTGGAGGGACATATATACCCCTGGCGCAGGGACTCGGTGACGTATGTCTCCATAGCCTCCGTCTCCGCCTGCGACAGGGGATACACATGACTCCTGGGAGGTACAGCGTCTACCCGAAGGTTTATTGCGCAATCCCCCGCCCAATGAGGTGGCAATTTAGATGCCCTATTCTTGGAGAAAACTTGCGCCAGATCATGGTATTCGGGGGGAATGCGCATGGTGGAGGCACCGTCTGGACTTTCCACCGTGGTTGCACCAACGGAAACACCCAGACAACCTACCCTGACACTCTCGCGACCACCCCATGAGAACCCTCTGCGGCCATGAGAAAGTGGGGTTGTGGAGTGCTAGCCACAGAATACTTAACACCACAGGGAAAGTAGGAGACTCAATGATGGAAAAAGTGACCTGCTCACAATGCGTCTCCTGTGTGATCATGGTGACTGGTACCGTGACTTCCTTTATCAACCCGGACCCTAATGGTCGACTATCAAGTGCTCTGATGGGGCATGGAATGGATAAGGGAACTAATGAAATGCCCTGGCGGCGTGCAAAAGTTTTATCCATAAAGTTCCGAGCTGCGCCTGAATCTACTAGCGCCTTACACTTGGGAACTCTCATGTAATCAGGGAAGTATATGGGTATGGTACAGTGTGCAGCAGAGGGCTCTGAACAAGTGTGGGTGCTCAATACCTGGGGTGATGCGAGAGTGCCCTGCGGCCGCCTCCTGACCAAAAAGAGCGCTGACGACAACATGTGGTGAAATGTCCCTTCGTGCCATCCGATTGGCACTGGCGCTGTCGTCTTCCGCTCTCTCGGTGCGCGGTACCACCCAGCTCCATGAGCTCTGGATCCGCGTTGGTCGGGCGGGAACGGGCAGACCTCCTCCAGGACGTCCTCTGGCTGCCAGCAGGTTATCCAGACGAATGGCCATGTCCACCAGTTCGGTAAAAGACAAACTGGTGTCACGGCAGGCTAGCTCCCATCGGACGTCCTCCCGTAGATGGCACCGGAACTGGTTGGTCAGGGCCCGCTCATTCCACCCGGATCCTGCTGCCAGAATCCAGAACTCCAGAGCGAACTCCTGTACTGTCCTCTTCCCCTGCCTCAAGTGGACCAGCTGCTCACCCGCCTCTCGTGCGGGTGATCAAAAACCGCCCGAAATAGGCGGGCAAACTCCCTGTAGTCCTCCAACGCGGCTCCTCCTTCTCTCCAAACCGTGTTGGCCTACTCCAGGGCTTTCCCCGAGAGGCAGGAAATGAGGACGGACACCTGCTCTCGATCTCATGGCGCCGGCCTGACACTGGAGCAGTACAGCTCCAGTTGGAGAAGGAATCCCTGACATAGAGCCGGCGTCCCATCGAACGCCCGTGGTCGAGATATCTGGATCCCTCCGGGTGCTGTGATGTAGGTGGCTGGATCCGGTTGGCCAGCTGGTCTTGACAGATCGGTTCCTCTTCTCTCCAGGCATTGGACGACCTGAAGAACCCGATCCATCGCTTCCCCCAAGCTGGCCAGCATAGTGGAATGTTCCTGGACCCTTGCCACTATTCCAGGCATGCGCTCCTCTCCTGTTGACTCCATAGAGGTGAGTGATTCTGTGATGAGGTGTGAATGACGGAGTCAGGCGCAGGAGGTAAAACACCGAAATCCAGAGTTTATTCAGTGCACATGAATAAAGCACAGCAAGCGTCAAAACGAAACTAGCACAAGGGAAAAATCCACCTTGGCTACATACAAGGAAAGAGTAGCTCAACCGAGCTACTCACTCTCACAATGAACAATCACTCACAAAGGACAAGGGAGCAGAGGGAACACTTATACACAGACTAATGAAGGAATGAGTACCAGGTGTGTGTGATTGACAAGACAAGACAAATGGAGTGATGATAAATGGAGCGGTAGTGGCTAGTAAGCCAGTGACGACGAACGCCGAAACCTGCCCGAGCAAGGAGGAGGGGCAGCCTCGGCTGAATTCGTGACATTACCTGGCTAAAAGATCATTAATATAATATCTATTGTTTACAGGAAACTCATTCAACATTTTTGATGAAGTTGTGTGTAAAAAGGACTGGGGGGGCAATATACTTCTCCCATGGGAAAAGAAACTCAAAAGGGGTGATGACATTAATTAACAATCATTTTGATCCGAACGTGCAAATTGTTCAAACAGATCCGCAAGGTAGGTGGATTATTTTAAATATGTTATTGGACCATAAACAGATTTGGCTCTTTAATCTATACGGTCCAAATATTGATGAGCCACGCTTCTTGGAAAATATATATATAATGTTTGTGTTGCTACCATGTTATTGTCATGCTGTGTTGCTACCATGCTGTTTTGTCATGTGTTGCTGCCATGCTATGTCGTCGTCTTAGGTCTCTCTTTATATAGTGTTGTGGTGTCTCTCTTCTCGTGATGTGTGTTTTGTCCTATATTTAATTTGTATATTTAATTTTTAATTCCCAGCCCCTTTCCCTGCAGGAGGCCTTTTGCCTTTTGGTAGGCCGTCATTGTAAATAAGAATTTGTTGTTAACTGACTTGCCTAGTTAAATAAAAATAAATAAAAATAAAATAAATATAATAATTGATCAAGCCTACAAGCAATACAATACTCTATTATTATGGTGGGAGATTATAATACAGTTTTAAATACCTCAATGGACCGTAAATGAAATCACACTACAAACTATCACCCTTATGCACTTAAGGAAACCACAAATATCGTGGATATATTGGAACAAGTGGATATATGGAGGCTTAAATATCCTGACCTAGTGAGATATACTGTACATGGCGGAGGCTCAATCAAGCTAGTTGTGTAGTTTACCAATTAAATGGTCTGACGGTGAAGTGGACATACTCGGTTTTCATATCCCGAAAAAAATCAATAATCTCACTACAATACATTTTAATAGAAAGTTAGCAAAAATAGATAAGCTCTTGCTACCATGGAAAGGAAAATACCTGTCAATTTGTGGAAAAATCACCCTGATTAACTCCCAATTTACCTTTTTGCTTATGGCCTTGCCTACACCTAGTGACTTGTTTTTTAAATTATATGAGCCAAAAATTTAAAGTTGGTTGCAATTTCAGAAAAGACAGAACAAATATTACAACAAATATTATGGTTAAACTCTTAATATACTAATTGATAATAAAAAAATAAAAATGGTTTAATCTTTGTAAATTATATCATAAATAGGATTGGTGGAGTTATGTCACACATGCAGCTAACAAAGATATATGGAAATGTCTGCTCTACTCAAAATTACAACCAACTAATTGCGGCATTACCGCAAAAATGGAAGAGGCAAGTGGAGGGGGGAGAAAGTAAGGAACTTGTCTGTCGGCCCTGCATTAAAGACCAAAATTGGTGAAAGAAAATTGTGATAAATAAAAAAGTATACCAGTTTAATTTAAGGACCAAAAAATTGACAGTTGTGCCAAATAGATTACAAAATAGAGATTTTTGATGTACCGATTACATGGCACATGGTTTATGAACTGATACACAAAATGACGATGTATTCAAAACGTAAGAGTTTTTCAGTTTAAATTATTATACAAAATTCTTGCAACCAATAGAATGTTATATATATGGGGGATACAACCATCCCAGCTCTGCAGATTTTGCTGCGAAGAGACAGAATCATTAGATCATTTGTTTTGGTACTGTCCATATGTAGCTGGTTTTTGGTCGCAGGTTCAGGACTGGCTGAAGAATTGCAACATTTACCTGGAGCTAAAAGTCATAGTCAATCGATCAATTATATAATAACACTCTTAGCAAAAAATGGTATCTTTAATTTACAAGCTGTAGACTTTTGTGAAGTTTTGTGAAACATCACAGCACAGTTGAAAAATAATAATAGATAGATGGGAGTGGTTGAGTGGAGCTGATTAGTGGGACTAAAAATAACAAGATAACTAATGTAAAATATACTGTGTCTGTAAAATGTATATAGGTTCAGAACTATTGTGAAACTGCACAGTTGAAAAATATATGGCAAATAGAAATAAAACTGGATGGTCTGGATGGTCTTCAGAGATAGATGGGTGGGTTTGAGGGAAGGATGGGACTAAAAACAAACAAGCGATAACTATTGTAAAATATACTGTGTCTGTAAAATGTATATAGTATGTATAAGCTGGAAGTAGAAGCCTAAGTGTTGTTGTCCATTAGTTTACTCCACAATTCCACAAATTAACTTTTAAGAAGGCACACCTGTTAATTGAAATGCATTCCAGGTGACTACCTCATGAAGCTGGTTGAGAGAATGCCAAGAGCGTGCAAAGCTGTCATCAAGGCAAAGGGTGGTTATTTGAAGAACCTCAAATATAACATATATTTTGATTTGTTTAACACTTTTGTGTTGACTACATGATTCCATATGTGTTATTTCATAGTTTTGATGTCTTCACTATTATTCTACAATGTAAAAAATAGTAAAAATAAAGAAAAACCCTTGAATGAGTAGGTGTGTCCAAATTTTTGACTGGTAGTGTATATATTTACACCAAATATATATGGGGGATTGGAAATGATGCAGACAATTACATTGATGGAAGCCACAATCTATCTGCAATGTTAAAGCTGATCTACCCGCTAAAAAAAAAGGTTTTTGGGGTCTTCTTACCTTTGAAAACGTCTTTCCTCCTTTGAGCTCCTGCAATGACAAGAAGAAGCAGATGAAATGCCTGAAGCACAAACTCATGTGTGCTGCCAACACTTTCAGACGAAACACACTTTCTTTCCTTCTATAGTCTATTCTACAGTTTATGACATTAAGTGGGTAGGATTCCTATTTCAAGTGCATTCTAACACTAGGAGATTAAATAAATTAAAGGAAGGAACCGCTTGAAAACTTTGATTATAAACGATAATGTTAATCTTTGTCACGGATTCTGCCGAGGCTGCTCCCCCTCCTGGTACGAGCAGGCGTCGGCGGTCGCCGTCCCCGGAGTACTAGCTGCCACCGATCTATGTTTCTGTGTGTGATTGCTTTTGTCTGTCTGTCACACCTGTGTCCTATTGTGTATTCATCACCTGTCCTATAAGTTCCGTCTTTTTGCTTGGTAGGATTGTGTGTTGTTGTTCGCCTGTCGTTGTGCTGCGTGTTTTGTTTCTTGTTTGCATTTTTTGTGTTTTACGCATGTTGCGTAAATGCTCGCCTCTTGTTGTTTGAGGTCGTTTGTTTTCCGTTTCCTTTTGGAAATTTTGAGTAAACTCTGTTGGACTGAGCCTCGGTGTCCTGCGCCTGACTTCCACCACACATACACCTCACCTCATGACAGAACAACACACCATCTCCATGGAGTCAGCAGGAACAGCGGCGATACCCGATTCCTTGGAGGACCGGATTAATTACCAGGACGCCATGATCCGGCAACTCGGGGTCGCCATGGACGAGGTGTCCAACAGTCTGCGCCGGTTGATGAATCGGGAGGTGCCCACGCCTTCTCACACCATCCCAGCACCAACGGCCAGTCCTCCTCTCTCAGCACCGGAACCCAGTGGCATTCGGCTCTCGCTCCCGAGGGCATATGACGGTTCTGCAGCCGGGTGTCAGGGCTTTCTCCTACAGGTAGAACTTTACCTTGCCACCATACACCCGGCGCCCTCGGGATACGAGAGCGTCTCCGCCCTCATCTCCTGTCTCTCCGGGAAGGCGTTGGAGTGGGCCAACGCCGAATGGAGGGGAATAGACGCCGCCACCATCACCTACGCAGAGTTTTCCCGCCGCTTCAGGACTGTCTTCGATCATCCACCTGAGGGGAAAGCGGCGGGAGAGCGTCTATTCCACCTCCGACAGGGGAAGAGGAGCGCACAGGAGTTCGCACTGGAGTTCCGGACACTAGCAGCGGATGCGGGATGGAATGAGAGGGCCCTCATTGACCACTATCGGTGTAGCCTACGAGAGGACGTTCGTCGTGAGATGGCCTGCAGGGACACCAACCTGTCGTTCGACCAGCTGGTGGACATCTCCATCAGTCTAGACACCCTGCTGGCTACCCGCGGACGTCCCGAGTGGGGGTCGTCCATTCCATCCTCCAGCACCTCCGAGCCTATTCCTATGGAGCTCTGGGGGTGCTGGCGCTAGAGAGAGGAGGAGGGAGAACCCGAGGAGGGCCAACCCCTGCACCAACTGTGGCCGTGGAGGACACACCACGGCCAGGTGCTGGGGAGGGTCTTCTGAGAGAGGGGACAACAGGTCACGCACTGGGGAGTCATTTCAGGTGAGTAGGCGCCCCACTTACCCAGAGCTCTCTGTTGGTCACATGAGTATTCCTGTGCGTTTTCCACAGGTGGCACCTCATTCCCAGCATAAGGCGCTAGTAGATTCAGGCGCAGCTGGGAACTTTATTGATCGTAAATTTTGTGCTAGGTTAGGAATTCCCCTTCGGCCGGTAGAAGTTCCATTCCCTGTCCATGCATTAGACAGCCGGCCGTTGGGGTCGGGTCTGATCAGGGATGTCACAGCACCGCTGACGATGACTACGCAGGGGGGTCATGAGGAGATCATTCAGTTCTATCTGATTGACTCTCCTGCGTACCCAGTGGTGTTGGGGCTTCCCTGGTTAAGTACCCACGATCCTACCATAGCGTGGCAACAGAGGGCTCTTATGGAGTGGTCTGCCCAGTGTGTAGGGAGATGTCTAGGTGTTTCCATAGGGGCGACCTCGGTAGAGAGTCCGAACCAAGTGCCCGCACTGCGCATTCCCCCCGAGTATGAGGATTTAGCACTGGTCTTTAGTAAATCGAGGGCAGCAAGGCTACCTCCTCATAGACAGGGGGACTGTGCGATAAATATCCAGACTGGAGCAGCTCTTCCCAGGAGTCATGTGTATCCCCTGTCTCAAGAGGAGACAGCGGCTATGGAGACATACATAGCCGAGTCCTTGGCACAGGGATACATACGGCCCTCTACTTCCCCAGTCTCCTCGAGTTTCTTCTTTGTGAAGAAGAAGGACGGGGGATTGCGCCCGTGTATTGATTATCGTAGTCTCAATCAGATTACAGTTAAATACAGCTACCCACTGCCACTGATTGCGACGATGACGGAATCATTACGCGGAGCGCGATTCTTCACAAAGTTAGATCTCAGGAGCGCGTACAATCTGGTGCGCATTAAGGGGGGGGGATGAATGGAAGACAGCATTTAGTACCACCTCGGGTCATTACGAGTATCTCGTCATGCCATACGGGTTAATGAATGCTCCTTCAGTCTTCCAATCCTTTGTTGACGAGATTTTCCGGGACATGCATGGGCAGGGTGTAGTAGTTTACATCGACGACATCCTGGTGTACTCTTCTACACGAGCCGAGCATGTAGCCCAGGTGCGCCGAGTATTGAGACGACTGTTGGAGCATGACTTGTATGTCAAGGCAGAGAAATGCCTGTTCTTCCAGGAGTCCGTCTCCTTTTTGGGTTATCGGTTGTCCGCGTCTGGCGTGGAGATAGAGGTAGATCGGGTATCGGCTGTGCGTAATTGGCAAACTCCAACCACCGTAAAAGAGGTGCAGCGGTTCTTGGGGTTTTGCTAATTACTACCGGAGGTTTATCCGGGGCTTTGGACAGGTTGCAGTTCCCATTACGTCCCTGCTAAAGGGGGGTCCGGTGCGCTTGCAGTGGTCAGCTGAGGCGGACAGGGCATTTGTCAAACTGAAGAACCTGTTCGCCTCGGCCCCGGTGCTGGCGCATCCGGATCCCTCTTTGCCTTTCCAAGTAGAGGTGGACGCGTCCGAGACCGGTATTGGGGCAGTCCTGTCACAACGGTCCGGCACGCCACCTAAGCTCCGCCCCTGTGCATTCTACTCTAAGAAGCTCAGCTCGGCGGAGCGCAATTATGACGTTGGGGACAGGGAGCTGTTAGCTGTAGTCCAGGCCCTAAAGGTGTGGAGGCATTGGCTTGAGGGGGCTCAACACCCTTTCCTCATTCTGACTGATCACCGTAACCTGGAGTACATCCGGGCAGCTAGGAGATTGAACCCTCGTCAGGCTAGGTGGAACATGTTCCTGACCCGGTTTGTTTTTAAGATCACATACATCCCTGGGTCCCAGAACGGTAAGGCAGACGCCCTGTCCCGGCAGTATGACACAGAGGAGAGGTCCATTGAGCCTATTTCCATACTGCCGGAGTCTTGTCTGGTGGCTCCGGTAGTATGGGAGGTCGATGCGGAAATCGAGCGGGCGCTGCGTACCGACCCTACTCCCCCCGAGTGTCCTGTGGGGCGGACGTACGTTCCGCTCGAGGTTCGTGATCGGCTTATTTCTTGGGCTCATACATCACCCTCCTCTGGACATCCTGGTATTGGTCGGACGGTGCACTGCCTTAGCGTAAAATACTGGTGGCCAACGTTAGCCAGGGATGTGAGGGTTTATGTCTCCTCCTGCTCGGTATGTGCCCAGTGTAAGGCACCTAGACATTTGCCCAGAGGTAAGTTACATCCTCTGCCCGTTCCACAACGACCATGGTCCCACCTCTCGGTAGATTTTGTGACCGATCTACCCCCTTCCCAGGGTAATACCACCATTTTGGTCGTTGTGGATCGGTTTTCTAAGGCCTGTCGTCTCCTCCCACTGCCGGGTCTCCCTACTGCCCTACAGACCGCCGAGGCCCTCTTTACCCACGTGTTCCGGCACTATGGGGTCCCCGAGGATATTGTGTCCGACCGAGGTCCCCAGTTCACCTCCAGAGTCTGGGGGGCTTTCATGGAACGCCTGGGGGTCTCGGTTAGCCTTACCTCGGGGTACCACCCAGAGAGCAATGGGCAGGTTGAACGTGTGAACCAGGATGTGGGTAGGTTTTTGAGGTCCTATTGCCGGGACCGGCCGGAGGAGTGGTCGAGGTATATCCCCTGGGCAGAGATGGCCCAGAACTCTCTCCGCCACTCCTCCACCGGATTAACACCTTTCCAGTGTATTTTAGGGTATCAGCCGGTCCTGGCACCGTGGCACGAGAGCCAGACCGAGGCCCCTGCGGTGGACGAGTGGATTCGGCGCTCGGAGGAGACGTGGGACGCTGCCCATGTCCATCTGCAGCGTGCCATCCGTCAACAAAAGGCGAGCGCCGATCGCCACCGCAGTGAGGGGCCGGTGTACGCACCGGGAGATCGAGTCTGGCTCTCGACTCGAAACCTGCCCCTCCGCCTGCCCTGCCGGAAGCTGGGTCGGCGGTTTGTGGGGCCCTTTAAAGTCCTGAGAAGGTTGAACGAGGTGTGTTACAGGTTACAACTGCCTATAGAGTACAAAAATATTAACCCCTCGTTCCATGTGTCTCTTCTCAGGCCGGTGGTAGCTGGTCCACTCCAGGAGAATGAGATAGGAGAGACCCCTCCGCCCCTTTTGGACATCGAGGGGGCCCCGGCGTACAGAGTCCGGACCATCTTGGACTCGAGGCGCCGGATGAGTGGTCTCCAGTATCTCGTGGAGTGGGAGGGGTACGGTCCGGAGGAACGGTGCTGGGTGCCCAGGAGGGACATCCTCGATCCATCCCTCCTGACTGATTTCCACCGTGGGCATCCCACGCGCCCGGGTCCGCGTCCTCCTGGCCGTCCCCGAGGCCGGGGTCGGCGCACGGCTGGAGCCGCGCGTCAAGGGGGGGGTACTGTCACGGATTCTGCCGAGGCTGCTCCCCCTCCTGGTACGAGCAGGCGTCGGCGGTCGCCGTCCCCGGAGTACTAGCTGCCACCGATCTATGTTTCTGTGTGTGATTGCTTTTGTCTGTCTGTCACACCTGTGTCCTATTGTGTATTCATCACCTGTCCTATAAGTTCCGTCTTTTTGCTTGGTAGGATTGTGTGTTGTTGTTCGCCTGTCGTTGTGCTGCGTGTTTTGTTTCTTGTTTGCATTTTTTGTGTTTTACGCATGTTGCGTAAATGCTCGCCTCTTGTTGTTTGAGGTCGTTTGTTTTCCGTTTCCTTTTGGAAATTTTGAGTAAACTCTGTTGGACTGAGCCTCGGTGTCCTGCGCCTGACTTCCACCACACATACACCTCACCTCATGACAATCTTTTCATTCTGAATAATCTTACAGAATGTGATTTTAACAGTGGGCACTTCTATGCTACACTGGAAGACAGGGTGCTTTATAAAACCACAACGTGTATAACTGAGACGTTAACAACAGTTTACATGCGTTACATTATAGTGTACCCACTCCCTACAGATGAACTGATCTGAGTACTGATGGCCTCCATGTCATAGTAGCAGATACTGAGCTGTGTGATTCTAGCCACCCTGATCTCCAATCAGTCATTACTGATACAATAAAGGTAGATTCAAGTTTCACAATCCTCATATTTGCTAATACCATGGTAACGCCAAAGGGAGGAGTACTATAGGTCATCTGTAGCTTAGTTTGTAGAGCATGGCGCTTGCAACATCAGGGTTGTGGGTTTGATTCACCAGGGTTGTGGGTTCGGGGGACCAGTACAAAAGAAGTATGGAAATGTATGCACTCACTACTGTAAATCGCTCTGGATAAGAGCGTCTCCTAAATTAGTCAAATGTACTGTAACTAGTATTGTCGTTAATGAGAGCATAAAGTAAACAACAAACAACATAAAAGAGTCCATAGAACTTTTACACTGTCGGCAACAGACATTGAAAAACACCTGTCAAAGTTGATCCAGTGTGTAGGTGTGTGAAAAGTCTGAGAATGTCTCATTTACATCATTTACTAACATAAAAAGTTGGGAAGAAGGCTTCCATTAACAAGGTATGCTTTATACCAGAGTAACTACAGATTAATTGTCTTATAACAGGTTAATAATGTAACTATGAGGTACTTTTGAGACAGAGAGAGCATGGGCAAAAAAGCCCAGAATAAGCATAACATTTAAAAAAGACACTACAGCAAGACAACTTTTTCTCACTGCATAGGCTGTTTTGCCTTAGGAAAATATCACCCCAATGCTGTCTACATGGTACCATTATTTGGTACGGTAAAACACTAGAGAATTTGATAGTACCATTATTTGGCAGGGTAAAACACTGGATAATCGACAGTACCATTATTTGGTAGGGTAAAACACTGGAGAATGGACAGCACCATTATTTGGCAGGTTAAAACACTACAGAATGGACAGTACCATTATTTGGCAGGGTAAATGACTAGAGCAGGGGTTGATGGGCGATGTAGTTACCTTGCGTACAGAGACCCTGCAGATGCATTTGTCCAGGACTCCAGTGGTGGGATTGGCACTCATCTTACAGACGAAGGAGAACTTCTTCTTCCAACGAACACAGTTCTGCTGAACCTCTTCCCTACAGACAGACAAAGATCATCCTCATGATCATCATCATCACTCATTATCCTCATACCATTATCATCGTCAATATTATCAGTTTCTCTAGCTCTGATTTGGGCATCCCTCTGGCCAACGCTTACTGTACAGTACATAATCAACAGCCAACATTCTGCTAATGTCTCATCGATCAAACATCTGATCTCAATAAATTTTTCTGTTCCCAAAACTAGAATCTGTTACGAACACAGTGCACTAAGTTTTATAGACTTGACACTTTGACAGAGTTTTAAAAATGTTAGTTGTTTAGAAGAGGTGCAAGGTCGAATTGAGTTTGTGCACACGCGGACTTCACAGAGGTGGTGTTCCCTAACGGAAATATGCAAATACATGCTACAGAGTGCCAATAGGACCTCACTAGTTCGTGTTTGGCTTTGCCCACCTCCTTGCTTGTTCTGCCCATTAAGCTTCATTTGCTTACATTGTAAATGACACAGATTAACTATCTTGGGTTAGTTGTAAATATATTTGGCTGTAGTAAATGGACTATTACACACATCGGATACATTACACTGCCAAAGACAGAGTTCTACTGCTTGGAAAGCCCCTTACTGTCACGGAAACTCCCGGTACTGATGCTCATTCCGTTCACCAGCTCTGGAGGTCTATGTCACCGGTCTTCTAGGCGTCACTGACCTGGATCATTACCACAGACCCCGGACTGTCTTGTTTATTTACGCACACCTGGTTCCCATTTCCCCTGATTAGTATATGAATATACAGTACCAGTCAAAAGTTTGGACACACCTACTCATTCAAGGGTTTTTCTTTATTTTTACAATTTTCTATATGACTGCTGTAGAGCCACGGAAGAGGACCTGGGAAGAATAAGACTATAGTGTTACAGGAGTGGGTCGCAGTTCCGGAGCGACCCACTAGGTGTCATCCTCCGACAACCTTAGGCCCCCCCTCACTCACAGTCGGGACTAATCATCTTCATATTGGTGTCACCTGTGTCTCTCTGATTCACCTGTGTATTTATGCCCTCACTTCCCTGTGTTCCCTTGCTCAGTTTTCTCTGCTAGTTTCACTATGACAACGCGCACTAATCAGTGTCTGATCGCGGGACGTATGGACAGGTACGTGAGAAGTGTTTTACATTTACATCATTTAGCAGACACTCTTATCCGACTTACAAATTGGTGCATTCAACTTATGATAGCCAGTGGGACAACCACTTTTCTTCTTTTTTTTTATGGGGGGGGGGGGGGGGGGGGGGGGGGGGGGTAGAAGGATTACTTTATACTATTCCAGGTATTCCTTAAAGAGGTAGGGTTTCAAGTGTCTCCGGAAGGTGGTCAGTGACTCCGCTGACCTGGCGTCGTGGAGGAGTTTATTCCACCATTGGGGTGCCAGAGCAGCGAATAGCTTTGACTGGGCTGAGCGGGAACTGTGCTTCCGTAGAGGTAGGCCAGAGGTGGATGAACGTAGTGCCCTCGTTTGGGTGTAGGGTCTGATCAGAGTCTGAAGGTAAGGAGGTGCAGAAGTGTTCTCCGTGTTTATTTATTATTTCAGTCATAGTTAGTATTTTGTATTTTTGTCTGTCAGCCTGTTTTTTTTGGAGACCTATGTGCTCCTCATTTGTTTTCGTGTGTAGTCCGTTGTTTTGTATCCTGGTTTTGGGACCACCAGTAAAGATCTTTGTTTCACCATCCTTGCCTACTGCCTACTGTCTATCCTGCACCGCACCTGGGTCACACCTCACACCAACCCTTACACAATAGCTCGGGTAGCTCCGACTCTGAATCCGATGGCGCCTCAGTGAAGAGACAGAGGGTCCAGTTAGGAAAGTGCCTCGACTCAACCGAAGTCAACCAATCTCAACTGAACTTTAAGTCCTGTTGTTGAGTGTTATATGTTGTACAACCAACTATGGTCCACATACATTTAATTTATTTGTATTAATTAGACTAATTGAAATAAACAAATTGTATTTCCAAAAACCTACTTTGTCCTTGTGTTCCTAAGGCAAGAGAAAAAACTATTACCCCTGAAAAACTTTAATGGTTGTACTGTGCTGCAACTTTGGAGACTACAGATTTACGGTCTGTGACATGAGTAAGTATTGCATTCTTACATAATATTAACATTGACTAAGTTCTGTCCTCCTATTCAACCTTTGACAAAGATAACTGAGTTACAACACACAGAAATAACAGATCCACACATTGACGAACAAACGCGCTTACACAAATGGGTGAACACACACACACACTTTACCGTTCACAAGAAAGACCCACTGCATAACACAATGTACAGTAACTATCTATATAGTTTAATTGTACATATAGAAACAAAGCTTAATGTGCTGTAGAACACATACACACAAACAAAAACACACACAGACCAGTGTGCACCCCAAACACAGATGGAACACATCTGTCTCCAATCTAGGCTGCCAAAATGGAAAAGCCCCTGACAGATTCCAGGGAACATCTGGATACCCACATGAAAAAATACTACAGCTTACTATGGATTACTACAGTACTTACTATAGAATTCTATAGTAAATTGTAGTATACTGTAGAATACTATACTACACACTGTAGTATCCCTCAATCATGTGTAGTACTTACTATAGAATGTTGTAGTATACTGTAGAATACTATAGTAAATACTACAGTATTGTCCGCAAAAACACTATAGTCCGCAAAAACACTACTACACTTTTTTAACTACAGTAAAAACTGCAGTATTTCTTTGCATATACCCTGCCCATTCCCCTCCCCCATATCGCAATTTGTGCCACCCATAAGTGAGAAACCTACATGCCCAGTGAGGCCCCGGTCTTCGTACCGGAGGATCGGGCCTGGCTCTTGACCCGGAATCTGCCCCTCCGCCTGCCCTGCCGGAAGCTGAGCCCGCGGTTTGTGGGGCCGTTCAAAGTCATGAGGAGAATCAACGAGGTCACTTATAGGTTGTTACTCCCCCTTGATTACCGTATTAACCCCTCGTTTCATGTGTCTCTCCTCAGGCCGGTGGTGGTTGGTCCGCTCCAGGAGTCTGATGTGCGGGAGGTTCCTCCACCTCCTCTGGACATCGAGGGGGCCACGGCGTACTCTGTCCGCTCCATCCTGGACTCGAGGCGTCGGGTGGGGGGCCTTCAGTACCCCGTGGAGTGGGAGGGGTACGGTCCGGAGGAACGGTGCTGGGTCCCGGTGCGGGATATCCTCGATCCCTCCCTGTTGCGGGATTTCCACCGTCGCCATCCGGCTCGCCCTGCTCCGCGTCCTCCTGGCCGTCCCCGAGGCCGTGGTCAGCGCGCTGCTGGAGCTGCACGTCAAGGGGGGGGGGGGGGGGGGTACTGTCACGACTTCCGTCGAGGCTGCCTCCCCTCCTTGTTCGGGCAGGCTTCAGCGTTTTCTGAAGCTAGCTGTTTGTTGGAGGCTTTTTCCACGGCTATTGCTCGAGTCCGGGTAAAAATGTCACATGTAATGTCGCCTTTTGTAGCCGCCATGGCTTTTTTGATTAAAGCTAATGCAGTTTAACTTGAAGTGGAGGTAAGGTAATTACTTGTGCGGAGCTCTCAGTTCATGTGGCCATCTCGTTCAAGGGTCACGTGTTCCCCTGACCTAGATTTTGTAACAATTTACAAAATAATCAAGCCTGAAAGGTGAGAGCACAAAAATAACCGAAAAATTGCCTGTATCCACCTAGAAGATGATAATTGTCTACTGACAAGACGCCAACTGATTTCTGGCATTGATCAACCAATCTATCAGTGGTCCAATTCAAATGATACACCCTGCTAAGGCTCCTTTGCCAGAACGTTGGTCAAATAAATCCACAGCAAGGTGAAATGCATGTGCAACTTTCTTGGGATATTGACAATTTCCTACAACCTCATTGGTGGAAGATTCTGTCATTGGCTGTTGTTGTGGGTAGGGCTGTGGCGGTCATGAAATTTTGTCAGCCGGTGATTGTCAAGCAAATCACTGCCAGTCTTACAGTAATTGACCTTTAATTAACATGAACACATTTAGCATCTCCTGGCTTCCACGCATAACCTACAAGCAACTGATGCAGACTTTTGGAACATCTGCATTTAAAAAAGTATAATAAATCCATTTAATATAGCCTACACCATCACAATAAATCCATTATTTATTTTAGACAGGTCTTGGTCAGGGAATTGACCAAGAACCCGATGGTCACTCTGACAGAGCTCCAGAATTCCTCTGTGGGAGAACTTTCCAGAAGGACAACCATCTCTGCAGCACTCCACCAGTCAGGCCTTTATGGTAGAGTGGCTAGACGGAAGCCACTCCTAAGTAAAAGGCACATGACAGCCACTTGGAGCATGCCAAAAGGCACCTAAAGGACTCTCAAGACCATGAGAAACAAGATTCTCTGGTCTGATGAAACCAAGATTGAACTCTTTGCCCTGAATGCCAAGCATCCCGTCTGGAGGAAACCAGGCACCGTTCATCACCTGGCCAATACCATCCCTACGATGAAGCATGGTGGTGGCAGCATTATGCTGTGGGATGTTTTTCAGCGCTAGAGACTGGAAGACTAGTCAGGATCGAGGGAAAGATGAACGGAGCAAAGTACAGAGAGATCCTTGATGAAAACCTTCTCCAGAATGCTCAGGACCTCAGACTGGGGAAAAGGTTAACCTTCCAACAGGACAACAACCCTAAGCACACAGCCCAGACACTGCAGGAGTGGCTTCGGGACAAGTCTCTGAATGTCTTTGAGTGGCCCAGCCAGAGCCCGGACTTGAACCTGATCAAACATCTATGGAGAGACCTGAAAATAGGTGTGCAGCGACACTCCCCATTCAATCTGACAGAGCTTGAGTGGATCTGCAGAGAAGAATTGGAGAAACTCCCCAAATATAGGTGTGCCAAGCTTGTAGCGTCATACCCAAGAAGACTCAAGGCTGTATTCGCTGCCAAAGGTGTTTCAACAAAGTACTTAGGAAAGGGTCTGAATACTTGTAAATGTGATATTTCATTTTTTTTTAAATATATGAATAAGGCTGTAACGTAACAAAATGTGGGAAAAGTGAAGGGGTCTGAATACTTTCTGAATGCACTGTATATAGACAGGTGTGTGCCTTTCCAAATCATTTCCAATTGAATTTACCACAGGTGGACTCCAATCAAGTTGTAGAAACATCTCAAGGATGATTAATGGAAACAGGATGCAACTGAGCTCAATTTCCTCTCATAGCAAAGGATCTGAATACTTATGTAAATAAGGTATTTCCGTTTTCTTATTTTTAATACATTTGCAAAAATGTCTAAAAACCTGTTTTTCGCTTTGTCATTATGGGATATTGTGTGTAGATTAATGAGGGGGGAAAATATTTCAACAATTTTAGAATAAGGCTGTAACATAACAGAATGTGGAAAAAGTGAAGGGGTCTGAAAATTAGTTTGATTTAGAATGTATCATTATCATGCACCTGTCTCGAAACAGGGGCAGGGGATAAAATACATGTAATCTATGCACTTAAATAGCGAACGGAGGACGCTTTTCCCGTGGTTCATTTTCATGCCAGCCAGGTAGGTCATACTCTTGTTGTAAAGTGAAGCAATGTGCTTAATATTTGGAAAGTTGAGAAATATAGTAGGCCTAGCCTATAGAAAGCTGATGGGGTCCTCCTCTTTTCAATAGAGGCCATCAAAACTCTGTTTTCTCACGCAATTGTATAGCCTATAGAAATGTTGCACAACATGAGCACATTGGCTCTCATGAAGTGTTTAATTTGATTTTCTATTGCATTTGCATTGATTTTAGAGTGATTAGAGGGACAATAGAGTGCGGAGTACCAGGCAGTTAGCAAGTTTGGTAAGCTATGACCACCAGCAGCATCAGAGTGCAGTTTTGGAGAAGCCTTGTTACCGTGACTAACGGGTCACATGGAATTTGACTGCGATTATGACTCGTGACCGCCGATATGGCGGTAATACAGTCACCGTAACAGCCCAAATTGTGGGTGTCTTGTTCTCTTCCCAGGGTTGGTCGGGCGAACTGGCCTTGATAGACCAAGACATGGTCCTAGGAGCACATGACTGTTGCATAATGTAGGCTAGCTCATACTGTAACTCCAACCTCTAACCATTCTCTGAGCTGGTGATATATAGTATTACAGTGATGGCAATGGATGACATCAGACACAGAACAGTCAGAACCACATGCAGCCAGCCTGTGACTAATACAAAACATGCCTCTGATGGAGAGCAGAGAGACAGAAAGAAGAAAAAAGGAGGATGGATAGATAGAGAGCACAGACAGGAAGGAAAGATAGAGATTAGATAGATGGAGCGTTTTGGGAAACAAACTAAAGAGGAGATAGCAAGACATAAACAAATGAGAAAGCACAAGAGCACGCGGAGACTGAGGGAAGGTATACCAGTCTATGCCAGTGTGCCCTGCAGCCCAATGTGGGCATTACAGGACATGGGTACATGACAATCTCATCCAACTAAACAGCCAGTCCATAAGGCCATCTGTGACTCAACCAAGACCATGAGAAATCTGATCTGCACCCTATATTCCCACTCGCTGTAATGAAATGCTAGGCATATTGGACATTGTTCAACGTAAACACACTATGGAAATAACAACATGGTATGGTTCTTTGATCAGCTGTCTTTCAAGTAGAACATGACAGTTAACGTTGGGTAAATATGCATTATGATACAATCCACTTATAGCCATAGGAAAAGGACGGATAAGTCACTGACTATTCTATGACCTACAGGGGTGAATATAGCCTGGTACTAGATCTGTTTGTGCCTTCTTGCCAACTGCTACTGTCATTGTCACACGACAATACCATAGGAGTTGGTAAGACAGCACAAACACAGATTTAGGACCAGGCTAGGGTGAATTGGAAGACAGTTACAAAACATGCCTGTGTGTGTCCTTTGTGGTTCTGATGTATTTTCTTTCAAAGCCTCCCTGCCTCCCAGTAGTCAATTCATTAACCTTTGGTGATCCTCGAGCCACACACACACACACACACACAAACACACACAGGACAGCAGAGCAGAACCACCCATGTGGCTGATTGATTACTTCATTAGAGACACACTCGAATAGATCCTGGCTTGGGCGCTAGGAAGGAAGAGGACACAAACACACACACACACACAGAGAGAAACACAGAGGCACAGACCGCAACAGGTAAAGTAGAGATGGAGGGTGTGGGAATAAAGAGAAAATGTAACACTAGGGTAAGTTCATTCTAACACTACAGTATGTAGTGGGGCAGTGGTCTAAGGCACTGCATCGCAGTGCTAGCTGTGCCACTAGAGATCCTGGTTCGAATCCAGACTCTGTCGCAGCCGGCCGCGACAGGGAGACTCATGGGCGGCGCACAATTGGCCCAGCGTCGTCCAGGGTAGGGGAGGGAATGGCCGGCAGGGATGTAGCTCAGTTGATAGAGCATGGCGTTTGCAATGCCAGGGTTGTGTGTTCGATTTCCACGGGGGGGCCAGTATGAATAATAATATGTATTCACTAACTGTAAGTTGCTCTGGATAAGAGCATCTGCTAAATGACTAAAATGTAAATGTATTTGACCTTATTCCACTTGTGTTACATCATCAGGAGCAAAGAACCAGCAATCGAATCATCATAGGGCCTGTAATAGTGTGCCAGTGGTTCAATTTCATTTCCTGAATTGAATTTAGAATTGACCCAGATCCTTGTTATTGAGATATCTCTAGCTAGAGTAAAGAGGGAGGGATTTGGGTTCACTTGAATAATTATACATTTTGGTAATTCTTTGGTCAACATACACTCTTATCAAGGGCGACTTTCAGTAAAATATTGGTGTATCGGCCTCCAGAGTGGCGCAGCGGCCTTTGTGCTGTTGTCTGTGCCCAATAATGTTTATACCGTGTTTTGTGCTACTGCCATGTTTTGTTGCTACCGTATTGTTGTCATGTTGTGTTGCTACCGTGTTGTGTTGGTGCCATGCAGTGTTGTTGTCTTAGGTCTCTCTTTATGTAGTGTTGTAATGTCTCTCTTGTCGTGATTTGTGTTTTGTCCTACATTTTTATTTTTAATCCCAGCCCCCGTCCCCGCAGGAGGCCTTTTGCCTTGTGGTAGATACAAATTTGTTCTTAACTGACTTGCCTAGTTAAATAAAATAAATGAATAAAATAAAAATAAGCCCAAGGGATGGGAATCGGAGCGTGCTGGTTCTAACTGGCTGGGAACGGGAGAGGAGAATTGTCCGGAGTGGCAGAACAGAGTGTGGCTCTAAGTGTTTTAGTAAACAGAAGATTGAAAAAAATCAAGAGACAGAGAGAGAGGGTTACATTTATTTTAAAAAGAGCCACTGAAGGGAGGAAATGGAAAGAGCAGGAGGGGAAAAAGAGAAATGATGACAAGGGCCTTACTAAAAGAGTGAACACAATCCTAGTCCTCAGTATAAGCTAATGGTTATAGTTACTTACAATGTTCTTTGTCTCTGTTGTTGTTTTTTACAATTTAAGATTGACTAAGTTGGGAGGCAGTCTGTTTATTAACTCAACTTTGTCCTGGGGGCATAAGGCAAGGGTGCCAAGTCAGTCAGCTTGGGTAGTTGAAGAACTCGTCTGTCCACACTCTCTTGTGGAGGAGGAGGCGCCCAATTCCCATTTCCCAGCAGCTGTGTAAACTGCTCCGTCGGCACACTCTCCTCTAACAGTTAGAAAACCTAGACTGTGTCAGTTTGACAGACCCATAGAGAACAAACACCGCTTAAACAACGATTTGACAACACTTAACAAACGCTTAGACAACGTTTAACAAACACTTTTGTGTTATATAACACATACATATACAGACTTTCCTAGAGCGTAACTGCTAGAGTCTACCCACTGGGCACACCATGTAATTTCAATGTGGATAATTGGGTAATATTTGGTTGAAACCTATTTTCACCCACTCAAATTCTTAATATGTTATCAATATGCTTTCAACCATCTAAATGCACAACCAAATTCCAATGGAAAACCAATATCAGATTTTTGGTTTAAAATGTGCTATCACTGCACTTTCAACCATTTAAAACCACAAAAAAGTTCAAATGGGAATACAACGTCAGATCTTTTGTTTATTTATACAACAACTTAATGTGTTATCACTGTGCTTCATCTAAGCACAACCAAATGACCTGGATTGCAAATTAGATTATTAGAGAACGTCGTACAAGTGATCAAAACCGTTCGAGATTCTGCGCAGATTATTATAGCAATTGTGAAGATCTCTATAGACCTGCAACCCAAATCTAATCTAATTTTACTTGTCACATGCGCCGAATACAACAGGTGTAGATCTTACCGTGAAATGCTTACTTACAAGCCCTTAACCAACAATGCAGTTCAAGAAATATAGTTAAGAAAATATTTACTAAATAAACTAAAGTCAAAAAAATAAAAATAAAATTAAAAGTAACACAATAAAATAACAATAATGAGGCTATATACAGAGGGTCCCAGTACCGAGTCAATGTGCTGGAAAACAGGTTAGTCGAGGTAATTTGTACATGTAGGTAGGGGTAAAGTGACTATGCATAAATAATAAACAGCTGGTAGCAGCAGTGTACGCACTACCCTCTTTAGCGCCTTACGGTCGGATGCCGAGCAGTTGCCATACCAGGCAGTGATGCAACCGGTCAGGATTCTCTCAATGGTGCAGCTGTAGACCTTTTTGAGGATCTGGGGACCATGCCAAATCGTGGTCCTCTGTAGCTCAGCTGGTAGAGCACGGCGCTTGTAACGCCAAGGTAGTGGGTTCGATCCCCGGGACCACCCATACACAAAATAAATGTATGCACGCATGACTGTAAGTCGCTTTGGATAAAAGCGTCTGCTAAATGGCATATTATTATTATTATTATTTTCAGTCTCCTGAGGGGGAAAAGGCGTTGTCGTGCCCTCTTGAACATGAACATGCATGCTTTCTATGATTAGAAAATACATTTATTGTTATAGTAACCTCAAAATGTGTCCACTATCAGCATATCTATTTATTGTGGCCATCGAGATGTTAGCCATCCAATAATAATATCAGAGGATTAGAAATCCAGGGCTTAAAAACAAAGGTGTCATTGTACGCTGATGATTCATGTTTTCTTTTAAATCCACAACTAGAATCCCTCCACAGCCTCATAGAGGATCTAGATACATTTTCTAACCTCTCTGGATTACAACCAAATTATGACAAATGTACTATATTACGTATTGGATCACTAAAAAATACAATTTTTACATTACCATGTAGTTTACCAATAAAATGGTCTGATGGTGATGTGGATATACTCGGAATACATATCCCAAAGGAAATAAATGATCTCACTTCAATACATTTTAATAGAAAGTTAGCAAAAATAGATAAGATCTTACTACCATGGAAAGGAAAATACCTGTCAATTTGTGGAAAAATCATCCTGATTAACTCTTTAGTATTATCCCAGTTTACCTATTTGCTTATGGTCTTGCCTACGCCTAGCGAACAGTTTTTTTTATTATATGAGAAAAAAATATTCCATTTTATTTGGAACGGCAAACCAGACAAAATTAAAAGTGCCTATTTATATAATGAATATGAATTCGGAGGACAGAAATTATTAAATATTCAAGCATTAGACCTATCACTAAAAGCTTCAGTCATACAAAAGTTATACTTAAATCCGAACTGGTTCTCAAGCAAATTAGTAAGATTGTCTCACCCAATGTTCAAGAAAGGCCTTTTTCCCTTTATTCAGATTACAACATCTCATTTTCAGTTATTTGAAAAGGAAATAATCTCCCAGATATCACTATTTCTAAAACAAGCCATAGAAAGTTGGTTGCAATTTCAATTTAATCCTCCAGAAACGACAGAACAAATAATGCAACAAATATTGTGGTTAAACTCAAATATACTAATTGACAAAGAAACTGTATTTTTTGACAAAATGTTTAAAAAAGGTATAATCTTTGTAAATTATATCATCGGTAGGACTGGTGGAGTTATGCAGCTAACAAAAACATATGGAAATGTCTGCTCTACCCAAAATTACAACAAAATAATTGCAGCCTTACCGCAAAAGTGGAAGAGGAAAGTGGAAGGGGGAGAAAGTAAGGAACTTGTCTGTCGGCCTTGCATTAAAGAACATAATTGGTTAAGGAAAACTGTGATAAATAAAAAAGTATATCAGTTTCACTTAAGGTCCAAAGGATTGACAGCCTTCCCATATAGATTGCAAAATAGTTGGGAAGAGATTTTTGACGTACCGATCCCATGGCATAGTGTTTATGAACTGACACGCAAAACGACAACGGATTCAAAAATTAGAATCTTTCAATTTAAATTATTATATAAAATTCTTGCTACCAATAGAATGTTATTTATATGGGGGATACAATCTTCCCAGCTCTGCAGATTTAGCTGTGAAGAGACAGAATCATTAGATCATTTGTTTTGGTTCTGTCCATTTGTAGCTTGTTTTTGGACACAGGTCCAGGAATGGCTAAAGGATTGCAATATTTACCTGGAGTTAACCTTGCAGATAGCATTACTGGGTGATCTGAAAAGTCATAGTCAATCGATCAATAATATAATAATACTTTTAGCAAAAAAAAATATTTTTAATTAACGATCTGTAGAAGCAATGAGAATAGAAAGGTTCTGAACTTTTGTAAAACATCACAGTACGGTTGAAATATTTATGGCAAATAGAAATCCTATATGGATGGTGTCAAGAGATAGATGGGAGGTATTGAATGGAGTTGAAGGATGGGACTAATAACAAATAACAACAAATAATAACAAGATAACTAATAATGTAAGCATACTGTGTCCATAGTAAGTATATAGGTTGTAGGTTGGGAGCTTTTGGGAAAGAGTACAGTTAGAAAGATATAGCATATAGAAGCAAACCGGACGGACATCGTGAAAATGATCAGAGAGGTTGAGGGTAGAGGAAGTTCAGGAGCAAAAAAATATCCATAAGGTGTAGATAGTAAGTATAGGCTGGAAGTAGAGGCCTGGGCATTGTTGTTCACTAATTTACCCCAAGTAGGGAAAGGATGGCGGGGTTGAAAAGTAATAAAGGGGAGTATATATATAAAAAACATGGGGGATTGGAAGTGATGCAGACAATTACATTGATAGAAGTTACAATCTATCTGCAATATTAAGCTGATCTACCCCCCCCCCCAAAAAAATTTTTTTTTAATTAATAATAATAATAATAATAATAATAATAATAATAATAAAAAACTCAATGTGTTCATGGATGTGTTGCTCGCTTTAAGGTTGAATAAAATACTGTTCCATTAGTTTGTAAGGTAGCCTTGACTTTAGGCTATTTACTGTATTACAAAATACATTTTGAATTGCGTTTGGTTGACAATGCATTCAAATATCAACATTTAAAGGAGATGTATCTACTACTTGGATAGTTCCATCTGAGCCACTGGCTTAATCCTATTCTTTAGCTTTTATTATTGGTTGTGATGGAGACGTGAATCCAACATATTATTTGTTAACTTGTCGACAAGTTAACCCTTTAACGCGTACCAACACACGGGTGTGATCATTCTAGTGGTCCCTGCAGCGTACGCTCAAACTGGTGTGATTAGAACACTTATTTAGAACGTCCAGTTTCAAATCACGCAACAGTCCTTACAACGTTATGTCCTGAATGTGAGCAGTTTATTTTTGGATGCAATGTTCAGACATTCACAGAAGTGGCGACAGCATAACACAATCATCCAAACCAGAAAATGTAGGCTACATTAGTCCTAGCGCTGAGGAAATATTGACCTAACAGCTTGACCAGCTTTTGTTTCCTTTCTTATAGTGCATATTACATTGAAGATCTGACGTTGTTTCAAGGTACAAATTCAACTTATTGTAAACAAGGTTTGTCTATGTTGAAAATTGGATACCATGATGACATAATCCTGTGGTGGAAATTTCACCCTCAAAACAAAAACACTTACATTGATGAATTTTTTCTAATCCAATGTATTTTCCACGTAGATTCCACGTCGCAATACGTTGACAAATTACGTTGAAACAATGTTGATTTAACCAGTTTGTGCCCAGTGGGCAAATACCTCCAGTGTAGCTTCAGTAGGCTGAATGTAAAAAAAGAGTGGTGCAGACAGAGATCTGATAGCTTGGCACTTCCTAAGTGAATGGGAGTGTGTGTTTAGGCAGTCAAGAGAAAGAAGTGGACAGGGAGAGGGATAACAGAGCAGTAAAGGGAAAGAGCGAGGCCTGCCTTGTGGAATTCTCCAAGTCATCATAACGACACCAGACAGAAAAAAAACACACACACTGCACATTCCCACACACATAGACGGGACATTCCCACATGTAGACATTCCCACCTCCCCAGTGACAACGGGACACAGACTGGACACACAGTGGTGCTGGCTGACCTCACCCCTTCACCTCTGACCTTTGAACCGAACCGTGACTGAGTGAAGCCAGCAGAGCGCAGATAAAGGCCCTGTCCAGTAACAACACCTAGCTCCTTTTCCCTAAGAACTTCAAATCAAATCAAATCAAATTGTATTGGCCACATGCGCCGAATACAACAGGTGCAGACATTACAGTGAAATGCTTACTTACAGCCCCTAACCAACAGTGCATTTATTTTTAACAAAAAAGTAAAAATAAAACAACAACAAAAAAAGTGTTGAGAAAAAAAGAGCAGAGGTAAAATAAAATAACAGTAGGGAGGGGGGGTACCGTTGCAGAGTCAATGTGCGGGGGCACCGGCTAGTTGAAGTAATATGTACATGTGGGTAGAGTTAAAGTGACTATACATAAATAATTAACAGAGTAGCAGCAGCGTAAAAGGATGGGGTGGGGGGGCAGTGCAAATAGTCCGGGTAGCCATGATTAGATGTTCAGGAGTCTTATGGCTTGGGGGTAGAAGCTGTTGAGAAGTCTTTTGGACCTAGACTTGGCACTCCGGTACCGCTTGCCGTGCGGTAGCAGAGAGAACAGTCTATGACTAGGGTGGCTGGAGTCTTTGACAATTTTGAGGGCCTTCCTCTGACACCGCCTGGTATAGAGGTCCTGGATGGCAGGAAGCTTGGCCCCAGTGATGTACTGGGCCGTACGCACTACCCTCTGTAGTGCCTTGCGGTCGGAGGCCAAGCAGTTGCCATACCAGGCGGTGATGCAACCAGTCAGGATGCTCTCGATGGTGCAGCTGTAGAATTTTTTTGAGGATCTGAGGACCCATGCCAAATCTTTTCAGTCTCCTGAGGGGGAATAGGCTTTGTCGTGCCCTCTTCACGACTGTCTTGGTGTGTTTGGACCATGATAGTTTGTTGGTGATGGAACTTGAAGCTCTCAACCTGTTCCACTACAGCCCCGTCGATGAGAATGGGGGCGTGCTCAGTCCTCTTTTTTTCCCTGTAGTCCACAATCATCTCCTTTGTCTTGGTCACGTTGAGGGAGAGGTTGTTGTCCTGGCACCACATGGCCAGGTCTCTGACCTCCTCCCTATAGGCTGTCTCATCGTTGTCTGTGATCAGGCCTACCACTGTTGTGTCGTCGGCAAACTTAATGATGGTGTTGGAGTCGTGCCTGGCCATGCAGTCATGGGTGAACAGAGAGTACAGGAGGGGACTGAGCACGCACCCCTGAGGAGCCCCCGTGTTGAGGATCAGTGTGGCAGATGTGTTGTTACCTACCCTTACCACCTGGGGGCGGCCCGTCAGGAAGTCCAGGATCCAGTTGCAGAGGGAGGTGTTTAGTCCCAGGATCCTTAGCTTAGTGATGAGCTTTGAGGGCACTATGGTGTTGAATGCTGAGCTGTAGTCAATGAATAGTAGTCTCACGTAGGTGTTCCTCTTGTCCAGGTGGGAAAGGGCAGTGTGGAGTGAAATAGAGATTGCATCATCTGTGGATCTGTTGGGGCGGTATGCAAATTGGAGTGGGTCTAAAGTTTCTGGGATAATGCTGTAGATGTGAGCCATGACCAGCCTTTCAAAGCACTTCATGGCTACAGACGTCAGTGCTACGGGTCGGTAGTCATTTAGGCAAGTTATCTTAGAGTCCTTGGGCACAGGGACTATGGTGGTCTGCTTGAAACATGTTGGTATTACAGACTCAGTCAGGGACATGTTGAAAATGTCAGTGAAGACACTTGCCAGTTGGTCAGCACATGCTCGGAGTACACGTCCTGGTAATCCGTCTGGCCCTGCGGCCTTGTGAATGTTGACCTGTTTAAAAGTCTTACTCACATCGGCTACGGAGAGCGTGATCACATAGTCATCCGGAACAGCTGGTGCTCTCATGCATGCTTCAGTGTTGCTTGCCTCGAAGCGAGCATAGAAGTGGTTTAGCTCGTCTGGTAGGCTTGTGTCACTGGGCAGCTCGCGACTGTGCTTCCCTTTGTAGTCTGTAATAGTTTTCAAGCCCTGCCACATCCGACGAGCGTCAGAGCCAGTGTAGTACGATTCAATCTTATTCCTGTATTTACTCTTTGCCTGTTTGATGGTTCGTCGGAGGGCATAGCGGGATTTCTTATAAGCGTCCGGGTTAGAGTCCCGCTCCTTGAAAGCGGCAGCTCTACCCTTTAGCTCAGTGCGGATGTTTCCTGTAATCCATGGCTTCTGGTTGGGGTATGTACGTACGGTCACTGTGGGGACGACATCATCGATGCACTTATTGATGAAGCCAGTGACTGATGTGGTGTACTCCTCAATGCTATCTGAAGAATCCCGGAACATGTTCCAGTCTGTGCTAGCAAAACAGTCCTGTAGCTTAGCATCTGCGTCATCTGACCACTTTTTTATTAACCGAGTCACTGGTGCTTCCTGCTTTAGTTTTTGCTCATAAGCAGGAATCAGGAGGATAGAGTTATGGTCAGATTTGCCAAATGGAGGGCGAGGGAGAGCTTTGTATGCATCTGTGTGTGGAGTAAAGGTGGTCTAGAGTTTTTTTTTCCTCTGGTTGCACATTTAACATGCTGGTAGAAATTAGGTAGAACGGATTTAAGTTTCCCTGCATTAAAGTCCCCGGCCACTAGGAGCGCTGCATCTGGATGAGCGTTTTCCTGTTGATTTATGGCCTTATACAGCTCATTCAGTGCAATCTTAATGCCAGCATTGGTTTGTGGTGGTAAATAGACATCTATGAAAAATATAGATGAAAACTCTCTTGGTAAATAGTGTGGTCTACAGCTTATCATAAGATACTCTACCTCAGGCGAGCAAAACCTAGAGACTTCCTTAGTATTTGATTTTGTGCACCAGCTGTTGTTTACAAATATACACAGACCGCCACCCCTTGTCTTACCGGAGTCAGCCGTTCTATGCTGCCGATGTAGCGAATAGCCCGCTACCTGTATGTTATCCATGTCGTCGTTCAGCCACGACTCGGTGAAACATAAGATATTACAGTCTTTAATGTCCCGTTGGTAGGATAACCGTAATCTTAGGTCATCCAATTTGTTCTCCAATGATTGAAGATTGGCTAATAGGATTGATGGGAGCGGCAGTTTACTCGCTCACCGTCGGATCCTTACAAGGCACCCCGACCTACGTCCACGATATCTCCGTCTCTTCCTCATGCGAATGACAGGGATTTGGGCCTTGTCGGGTGTCTGTATGATATCCTTCGCGGCCGCCTCGTTGAAGAAAAAATCTTCGTCCAATACGAGGTGAGTAATCGCTGTCCTGATATCCAGAAGCTCTTTTTGGTTATAAGAGACGATGGCAGAAACATTATGTACAAAATAAATTACAAATAACGCGGAAAAACACACATAATAGTACAAATGGTTAGAGGGCTGTAAAACGGCAGCCATCTTCTCCGGCGCTGTTCTGTAGATTTGTTAGGTATAAGCACCTTAGCAAACTTTCCAACTAGCGTAGCAAGGGCAAGGTGGATCTACTGTAATACCACAATGATTAGTAACCAGACCTAGTTGTCGGTCTAACTTATAGGCTGAAGTTCCTGGGTGTAGGTTTTTGGGCTTCAAGCCCCTAGTCGAATTCCTTTCAGACATACATGAAGTGCCTCAGGGGGAGAGGGTAGGGGTAGTTTCCGGAAGGGACCATAACTCTGAGGAAGAATGAGGGCTGAGGCAGAGAAGCTGGGAGACACCAGGGAACCTCCAATCCCTCAGAACCTGAGAAGTCCCAGACTAAACAACAGAGCAGACAGGGAGAAGCCATGATGACTTCGCTAATATAGGCCTAAATGCAAAGGAAGGCAGGAAAGCACACAGCAACTCACATTCTAAGAGAATGGATTCACATAGGAGTGAGTGGCACGAATCAAATGACGTTGCCATAAGGTTGCTCTGAGGGAAACGCTCAGTTTTTGTGATACGTTTTAATGTGCGTTAAGAGTGTGCTGTTGTGTATGTGTTACTATTGTGTGTGTGTGAGCGTATAGGAGAATGAGTGTGTGTTTGAAGTGATTGCTCATCCTTTCTCACCACCCTCTCTCTCACTCCCAGGGGGCTTCGTTTCACCTACTTCTTAGTGGAACGCTACTAGATGGAGCTCTCCTCTCCACCACTCCCAACTTTATCAGTCTTTCCCTTTCTTCTGCCCCTCCCAAAAGGCCAATGCTGCTTCCTCCAGCACTCAGAGAGAGAGAAAAGCAGAGAAGAGCGAGCAAGAGAGAAGTGGAGAAGAAAGTCTGAGGACATAACTGAGCTTTCATATTGCAAACCATGGCACATAGGGTATGGATCCCCATCAGCAATGGTGAGATAATGATGAGGTAATCAACTTGCTTGACAATCATAGCAGCCTCAGAATCACAGACACAAACATCCACACACCTGTTCCACTACATCACACTTTAGCCTCTTTAGTGCACTAGGGTAGAGCTGGGACGATAAACCGAAGATTATCGACACCGACCACACCGATGACTTATCGCCGGCATTTTGCTGATATCATTCATTACGATAAGTAGCCTATACTACAGTTTGAAATGAAATAAGTTTGCTAATATAGGTGATTGTTAATGGGACAATTGATGGCTACAACCATCAAACTAGTAGTAGTAGTTGTGGTCCTCTGTAGCTCAGCTGGTAGAGCACGGCGCTTGTAACGCCAGGGTAGTGGGTTCGATCCCCGGGACCACCCATACACAAAAATGTATGCACGCATGACTGTAAGTCGCTTTGGATAAAAGCATCTGCTAAATGGCATATTATTATTTATTTATTAGTTTAAAGGAGAATAAAAAAAACTGGTTTAAAAACAATGTTATAAACATATCATTCTATTTATTGTTATCGCATTAAATCAGGCAATTTTTCGCAATATGGATGTTGATCCATATCACTCAGCTCTACAATCCTTGTCACGGATTCAGCCGAAGCTGTTCCTCCTCCTTGCGCGGGCAGGCTTCGGCGTTCGTCGTCACCGGAGTACTAGCTGCTACCGATCCATGTTTCTATGTTCTACTGGTTTTGTCTGTATTGGTCTCACCTGTTTCACATTATGTAATTATGTCTTCCCTATTTAACCCTCTGGCTCACACTGTGTGTTGTGCGTGTTTGTTCATGTTTTGGTTGTCGTATGTGAGCGGGTTTGTTCCTCCCTGCGTGGAGGTATGTTCATTAAGTTACCTACGAGTAAAGTACGTTTTTTGATTAGCTCTGTGTCCTGCGCCTGACTTCGTCCTACCACATTACACTGACGCCTTGACAGAAACACGCACCAATAATGGAGTCAGCAGGTACAGCTATTCCGGCCGGATCGATGGAGGAACGCGTCCAACAACAGGCGACCACGATCCAGGTAGAGCTATACCTGGCAACCATCCACCCGGCTCCCTCGGGATACGAGAGCGTGTCCGCCCTCATCTCCTGTCTGTCAGGGAGAGCGCTCGAGTGGGCCAACGCCGAGTGGGGAGGAATAGACGCAGCATCTGTACGTTATGAGGAGTTTACCCGCCGCTTTCGGGCGGTATTCGATCATCCACCGGAGGGGAGAGCGGCGGGCGAACGTCTATTCCACCTCAGACAGGGGAAGAGGAGCGCACAGGATTTTGCACTGGACTTTAGGACTCTGGCTGCCAGCGCAGGATGGAATGAGAGGGCCCTTATCGACCACTACCGATGCAGCCTAAGGGAGGACATTCGTCGGGAACTGGCCTGCAGGGACACCAACCTTAACCTGGACCAACTGGTGGATATGTCTATCAGGCTGGATAACCTGTTGGCCACCCGCGGACGTCCGGATCAGGGGCCGTCCATTCCATCTCCCAGCACCTCCGATCCTACCCCTATGGAGCTCGCAGGTACTGCTCTTAGGGAGACCGGTAGAGGGGCCGTCCCTTGCACCAACTGTGGCCGCAGAGGACACACTGCTGGTCGGTGCTGGGGAGGGTCTTTAAGGAGTCGAGGCAGTAGGCAGAGCACCGGTGGACCGTTTCAGGTGAGTAGGCACCCGACTCACCCAGAGCTCCCTGTTGCGCATATGTGTATTGATGTTGTATTTCCAGAGTTTTCCCCTCATTCCCAGCATAAGGCGCTAGTAGATTCAGGCGCAGCTGGGAACTTTCTTGATCGTCAGTTTTCCCATAGTTTAGGGATTCCTATTGTGCCTGTTGATGTGCCCTTCCCTGTACATGCCCTAGATAGTCGCCCTTTAGGGTCAGATCTGATTAGGGAGGTCACAGCTCCACTCTGGATGAAGACGCAGGAGGGTCATGAGGAGAAAATTAGTCTCTATCTGATTGATTCTCCTGCGTTTCCAGTGGTGTTGGGGCTTCCCTGGTTAATCTCTCATGACCCCACTATTTCATGGCAACAGAGGGCTCTCAAGGGATGGTCAAGTCAGTGCTCGGGGAGGTGTATAGGTGTTTCCGTAGGGGCGACTACGGTGGAAAGTCCAAACCAGGTTTCCACCATGCACATTCTGCCTGAATATGCCGATTTGGCTCTCGCCTTCTGTAAAAAGAAGGCGACTCAATTACCACCCCATCGACAGGGGGATTGTGAGATAAACCTCAAGGTAGGCGCTGCACTTCCCCGGAGTCACGTGTATCCTCTGTCACAGGAGGAGACGGCGGCTATGGAAACATATGTCTCCGAATCTCTGGGGCAGGGATACATTCGGCCTTCCACTTCACCTGTCTCCTCAAGTTTCTTTTTTGTGAAGAAGAAGGATGGTGGCTTACGCCCGTGCATTGACTACCATAGTCTTAATCAGATCACAGTTAAGTACAGCTATCCTCTACCTCTGATTGCTAGTATGATGGAGTCATTGCACGGGGCGCGCTACTTCACTAAATTGGATCTCAGGAGCGCGTACAACCTGGTGCGTATCCGGGAAGGAGATGAGTGGAAGACAGCATTCAGTACCACCTCTGGGCACTATGAGTACCTCGTCATGCCATACGGGTTGATGAATGCTCCATCAGTCTTCCAATCCTTTGTTGATGAGATTTTCAGGGACCTGCACGGACAGGGTGTAGTGGTGTATATTGATGACATTCTCATATACTCCGCTACACGGGCCGAGCATGTGTCCCTGGTGCGTAAGGTGCTTGGTCGACTGCTGGAGCATGACTTGTATGTCAAGGCGGAGAAATGTCTGTTCTTCCATGAGTCCATCTCCTTCCTAGGGCACCGCCTGTCCGCGTCAGGTGTGGAGATGGAGATTGACCGCATTTCGGCCGTGCGTAATTGGCCGACTCCAACCACGGTAAAGGAGGTGCAGCGATTCTTGGGTTTTGCCAACTACTACCGGAGGTTTATCTGGGGCTTTGGACAGGTAGCGGCTCCCATTACCTCCTTGCTGAAGGGGGGACCGGTGCGACTGCAGTGGTCAGCTGAGGCGGACAGGGCTTTTGGTCACCTGAAGGACCTGTTTACCTCAGCTCCAGTGCTGGCTAATCCGGATCCCTCCTTAGCATTCCAGGTAGAGGTGGACGCGTCCGAGGCTGGGATAGGAGCTGTACTGTCTCAGTGCTCGGGTACGCCACCAAAGCTCCGCCCCTGTGCTTTCTTTTTCGAAGAAGCTCAGCCCGGCGGAGCGCAACTATGACGTGGGGGACCGGGAGCTGTTAGCTGTGGTTAAAGCTCTGAAAGTGTGGAGGCATTGGCTTGAGGGGGCTAAACACCCTTTTCTCATTTTGACTGACCACCGCAATCTGGAGTACATCCGGGCAGCGAGGAGATTGAACCCTCGCCAGGCAAGGTGGGCCATGTTCTTCACTTGTTTTGTGTTCACTCTCTCTTACAGACCAGGTTCCCAGAACGCTAAGGCAGACGCCCTCCTCAGGACCACACTGTATGACACAGAGGAGTGGTCCATGGAGCCTACTCCCATACTTCCGGCGTCATGTCTGGTGGCACCGGTGGTATGGGAGGTTGACGCGGACATCGAGCGAGCGTTACGTACCGAGCCCACTCCTCCCCAGTGTCGAGAGGGTCGTATGTACGTGCCGCTCGAGGTTCGCGATCGATTGATCTATTGGGCTCACACGTCACCCTCCTCTGGTCATCCTGGCATCAGTCGGACAGTGCACTGTCTTAGTGGGAAGTACTGGTGGCCCACTTCAGCCAAGGACGTGAGGGTTCATGTTTCCTCCTGCTCGGTGTGCGCTCAGTGTAAGGCACCTAGACACCTGCCCAGAGGGAAATTACAACCCCTACCCGTTCCACAACGGCCGTGGTCCCACCTGTCGGTGGATTTTGTTACGGACCTTCCCCCCTCACAAGGGAACACCACGATCCTGGTCGTTGTGGATCGGTTTTCTAAGTCCTGCCGTCTCATTCCTATGCCCGGTCTCCCTACGGCTCTACAGACTGCTGAGTCCCTATTTACACACGTCTTCCGGCACTACGGGGTACCTGAGGATATTGTATCGGATCGGGGTCCCCAGTTCACCTCAAGGGTCTGGAGGGCGTTCATGGAACGTCTGTGGGTCTCGATCAGCCTGACCTCAGGGTTTCACCCCGAGAGTAATGGGCAGGTGGAGAGAGTTAACCAGATGGCCCAAAACTCACTCCGCCACTCCTCCACTAACCTTTCTCCATTTCAGTGTGTGTTAGGTTATCAGCCGGTCCTGGCACCTTGGCATCAGAGCCAGATCGAGGCCCCTGCGGTGGATGAGTGGTTTCAGCGCTCAGAAGAGACCTGGAACACTGCCCATGTACGCCTGCAGCGGGCCATCAGGCGACAAAAGGCGAGCGCCGACCGCAACCGTAGTGAGGCCCCGGTGTATGCACCGGGGGACCGGGTCTGGTTCTCGACCCGAAACCTGCCCCGTCGCCTGCCCTGCCGGAAGCTGGGTCGGCGGTTTGTGGGGCCATTTAAAGTCCTGAGGAGATTGAACGAGGTATGTTATAGGTTACAGCTTCCTCCTGAGTATCGTATTAACCCCTCGTTCCATGTGTCTTTCCTCAGGCTGGTGGTAGCTGGTCCCCTCCAGGAGTCTGAGATACGGGAGGTTCCTCCGCCCCCACTGGACATCGAGGGGGCACCGGCGTACTCGGTCCGTTCCATCCTGGATTCGAGGCGTCGGGTGGGGGGCCTGCAGTATCTTGTGGATTGGGAGGGGTACGGTCCGGAGGAACGGTGCTGGGTCCCTAGGAGGGACATCCTCGATCCCTCCATGTTGAGGGATTTCCACCGGAGTCATCCGACTCGCCCTGCGCCGCGTCCTCCTGGCCGTCCCCGAGGCCGGTGTCGGCGCACGGCTGGAGCCGCGCGTCAAGGGAGGGGTACTGTCACGGATTCAGCCGAAGCTGTTCCTCCTCCTTGCTCGGGCAGGCTTCGGCGTTCGTCGTCACCGGAGTACTAGCTGCTACCGATCCATGTTTCTATGTTCTACTGGTTTTGTCTGTATTGGTCTCACCTGTTTCACATTATGTAATTATGTCTTCCCTATTTAACCCTCTGGCTCACACTGTGTGTTGTGCGTGTTTGTTCATGTTTTGGTTGTCGTATGTGAGCGGGTTTGTTCCTCCCTGCGTGGAGGTATGTTCATTAAGTTACCTACGAGTAAAGTACATTTTTTGATTAGCTCTGTGTCCTGCACCTGACTTCGTCCTACCGCATTGCACTGACACCTTGACAATCCTGCTTAATAAATAGCCTGCCACCTCACACTACCCAGCTAGCATATTTGGTTCCTTGGAAGTTGTAGGTATGTGAGTTTTTATGTGTCCCTTTGGTTCTGGAAACGAAGACATACGTTTCCTAACTGTAGCCCTTTCCTGCAGTTAATGACCAAAAGCGCCCTCTTTGGCCTCATGGGTGGAATGTTATTAATATTTTTCATAACTAATAAAGACTATTTAAAAAGAAACTACGAAAATCCGGTGTTTCTATGTCAAACAGTCTTGTTATATTTCAGTCTTCTGTGATGTATATAAAGTGTAATATTGGGATGCAAACTCAAAATTCAAAACATTTCAACTCTATATCTGACATGGTACAGGTGTTTTCTTCTTTTTAAGCCCATAACCATGTGTGTGAGGTGCATACTTTTGTTTCAAAGTAGATTTGTTTAAGACTACCAAGAATCACCATGATTTAGCCCACTGCAGTAAAAGGTTAAACTTGTAAACTTTTTTTTTTAATGTTCTGAGAACAGAAGTAAAATGTATCCTGTTCTGGGAACTTACATTTTTAGGTTGCAGGAAGGTTCTGAGAACGTTTTACTATGGTTCCCTGAAAGTTTTCATTAATATTTAAATACGACCGCAAGCGTAGGTTAACTGTTTTGAACTCCAAGCACAGATAGGACACATGGAAATTAATTTGCTTAGGCATTAATCATGCAAACACATTTATTTTATATTGTGGCTCGGCGTCAGTTAAATTCGAACCTATAATGTTCTGTCTATCCATGGAACTAGTCGACTGTGCCACCAGGATGGAGCAACCATGCCATGTTTTTTTTATCTCATACAAAGCTGTTCATTTTAGTGTATTCAAACAGACCCCATTTCAAAGGAAACAAGCACTCATTAAGATCAGGTGTGGCCAATTAGCGGGCGCAGCCTACACACCTGAACACACTTAACAAGAAAGAGGATAGAGAGAGTTTTGTTGATGCTGAGAACGGAATGTATATGTTTGTAAATAACATTCTTAGAACGATCTTTGAACATTACTAAATTTTTTCTTGTGGTTTTTCAGGAAAGTGTCTTAATGTTCTGAGAACATGACTTTAAATAAAACCATGAGGAAACCTGCAGAAAACGTTATGTTGAAGTACTGAAATTCCCACAGAAGAACGTTGTTTCTTAACGTTCTCGGAGCTGAGAACATCACTTTAAATAGAAACAGGAGGAAACCTGTAGGGAACGTTATGCTGAAGTACTGAAATTCCCACAGAAGAACGTTGTTTCTTAATGTTCTCTGAACAATTTGAGAACATTACTTTAAATAGAACCATGAGTAAACCTGTAGGAAATGTTATGCTAAAGTATAAAAATGTCCAAAGAAGAAATGTGTTTCTTAAAGTTATCTGAACTAATTGAGAACATGTCAATGTCAAACCAGTTGGAGAATGTGCTAGAACATTACCAAAAATGTAATTAAATGTTATCATGTTTGAACTTTTTTTCTCTTATAGTAATGAAATACCAAGAAAATAACGTTATTTTGTCAAGTTCCTTAAATTTGCTTTGAATGTTCCAAAGCCAAGCAACTATCCTGCACCATTCCCAGAACGGTGTGGGAAGGTTGTATGCAAAATAACCATAGGACAGCAACGCTCTCACCAAGCACTGGTTCTCAGAACGTTAGGTGCTAGCTGGGTAAGGTCTTAGGACCTTCACTTCAGACTCAATTCATACCTGTTAACACCAACTATTTTCAGACAGGGGCGAAGACATGGAGTCCCAAAATATAGTTGAATTGCCACCCAACAGTAGCTACTAGCCACGCACAAACACACACTTTGATGTTTATTATTATTACTTCCTTCCTATTTTTGTCTCACACGTTTCATCTCTTCCTCTTTTCTGTCCTGTGGATGGCGTGATGACCCTTTTGTCTTCTTCATCCCTTCTTCTACCCCTCCCAAAGTTCCTGGGGCACCAGCACTACCCTCCTTCTTGATGCTGGGAAAGATGGAGGTAGGTACACACTAGTGATGGGGGGTGGGGGGGGGGGGTTGGGGAATCGATACTGTTACGTATAGGGAAATCATTTTTGACAATATCGTAATGTTATTTTTGCGGTAGTTGGCTGTACCTGCACCAAACTCCAGTATTGTTCCTTCATACCTTTTTCTACATCTTCTTTTTAAATAGGGAGCCAATTTGTTTTCAGCACTTTTATTTCCCTGACTGATCAAAACTCGTTTTCTCATGGCTCTCTCTTGTCCCTCTGCAGCAGACATATGTTGTGCAATATGTTTGAAACATCGAATCACAATACAAATAGAATCGTGAGAATCGCAATACATATTGTATCGGCCCCTAACTATCGTGATAATATCGTATCGTGAGGTCCCTGGCAATTCCCAGCCCTAGTTCACACCCAGAACAACTGTTTCCAGAGGGTCACTGGACTCAAAAGTCTAAGGCCAGTCATTCTGTTTGTGCATGAGTGACTGAGCATCAGAAAAGTGAAAGACACAATAATGTGTCTCTCAAAGGATCACAAGACTCAAGACTGATCAATAATGCATTGAAAAACACTGGTCTATAGAGATAACTCAGAGAAGTCACTACACTACACCTCTGAACTGAAAACTGTTGTGTGTGTGTGTGTGTGTGTGCAGTTATACCCAACAATTGTTGCCAGATGAAGAAAATGAGATGCATACCCTCCTCCCTTAGATCTCCTTCAGAGCTGATGTAAATCTCCCCTCCTCTACTCTCCCCCTGTTCTCATCCCCCTTTCCACGTATCCCCTTATCTCATGTTCTCCATAGCACTGCTAGCTCTTAGGGGGCAATCATGACAATGGGTCTCTCCAAGAGCAATATCAGTGTGTGCATGCGTGTGTGTGTGTGTGAAAGGAAAAAGGCAGACCGCTGACCAACAAGCCATCAACATCAATAATCAGACTTCATAGATGCCAATCTGAACTCACAGTATCGACTCGCAATACAAATAGAATCGTGACATTTTATGTTTTATGTTTTTGAATAACAAAGGTAGTAGTGCATGACCCTAGGGTGGCAACAAATCAATTGTAAGTGATTTGAATGGGCCTTTCTCCATTCTGATTGCTTTATACTGTTCAATCAAACTTCAACCAAAAATACTTTTCATACATTTCTGCATTTCCTGCTCTCATTTGAGATCATTTCCACACTGCCAAGTAGAGCTACACGATATGGACAAAAAAATCTAGGCCTTATTTTTAACCAAATATTGCAATTGCGATTTGACTTGCGATTTAGATCAAAGCACTTGGGTGAACTGTTGGAATCATGGAATCTTTTATCTAGAAGATACTGTTGCACAAACAACATTTAAGCCTACACCATCACTGGTATCAGGCAGTATTAACACAGAGTTTCTAGACCCAGACGCATAACATCGCGAGACATCCGGGAACGATTGCGACACAGACCAAACTAGATGGCGTAGTAGTGCAGTCCTGTTTTTGTCGTGTGTCTGTAAATAGCCTGTAAATACCCTTTTTTTTTTTTTTTTTTCGTACATATTTTCCTATCAGACTTTTCATCCTTCTACAAAATATACTTTCCTGCAACCCGCCTCACTCAATGTGGAACGGATTCTATTATTGACTTACCTTTTATCTAGAATCTCCAGTTGAAACTAGCTAGCCAGCTAACTAGCTACTTGCTATTAGCCACAGTTGCTATTTCACCCAGAACATTGGATTTTCTGCCGGAATAATTTAATCACTGGACATGAATCACCGGATCGCAACTAGCTAGCCGCAACCGAATGGATGTTGCTGTTTGGCTAATCACCACTGCCCCCGATGCAAGCACCAGTTAGCCTTGAGCTAGCCTAGAGCCAGGCTCATATCCCGGCTATCTACCTCTAGGTCTACCGGACGGGAGTAGCCAGCTAACTAGCTACTTGCTATCAGCTACCGTTAGCGGTTTTTCACCATTGTCCGTGGCCTGCACCACCTACCAGCCAGCTCTAGTCTGGACTATTATTCGGCCAGTCTGAACAGCGCGTTATCGACCCAGAACATATACGTTTTTCTGCCGGAATCACTGAATCACTGGACCTTTAACTCCGGATTCATCGCTACCACCTAGCTGCAACAAAATGGACGTTGAGGTCTGGCTAATCATCCTGAGCTAGGCCCATCTCCCATCTCCCATCTCCCGGCTATCTACCTCTCTGTCAACCGGACGGGACCACCTAGTGTTGACACGGAGCCCAGCCGATCCTACACGACTGGTCTGCCGACGAAATCGTCTGATGAGGTAGATTTTACAACAGGCTTCCCGTTACGACGTTGACCACGAAGATTCCATCTGCTAGCCCCGGCCTGCTAGCACACGCTAGCCGTGCCCTCTTGCTCGCTCGTGCTTTAGCAGCCTCCGAACTACCTCCGAACTATCCTATTGCTGTTCAACCGGACCTTATAACTCAGCTATACAGCTGATGTCTGCTGGACTGTTCCTTTTTACGGTACTGCATCCTGTTTATGTTTAGCCTCAGCCCAAACTGTGTCGTCATTACCAGCTGTTGTCTTAGCTCTCTCAAATTACACCTTGATTGCTTAATGCCTCTCTCCCTTGTCAATATGGGTAGCTTATTGTTGTTTCGGTTATTTCTAATTGTACTATTTCACTGTAGATTCCCCAGCCAAGCTAAACCTGCCTTAGATAGCTCCTTTGTCCCACCCCCCATACATGCGGAGACCGGCTCAATCGGTACCTCCAGTGATGCTCTCTCTTTCATCGTTACCCAATGCTTAGGTGTACCTCCACTGTACTCATATCCTTGTCTGTACATAATGCCCTGAATCTTTTCTACAACGCCCGGAAATCTGCCCCCTTTATTCTATGTACCCAACGCACTAGAAGACCAGTTCTTAAAGCCTTTAGCCGTATCCTTATTCTAGTCCTCCTCTGTTCCTCTGGTGATGTAGAGGCTAACCCAGGCCCTGCAGCCCTCAGTATCACTCCTACTCCCCAGGCGCTATCATTTGCTGACTTCTGTAATCGCAAAAGTCTTGGTTTCTTGCACGTAAATATCAGAAGTCTACTTCCTAAGTTTGAGTTATTCACTGCGTTAGCACACTCCGCCAACCCTGATGTTCTAGCAGTGTCTGAATCCTGGCTTAGGAAGGCCACCAAAAATTCTGAAATTTCCATCCCCAACTATAACATTTTCCATCTAGATAGAACTGCCAAAGGGGGTGGAGTTGCAATCTACTGTAGAGAGAGCCTGCAGAGCTCTATCATACTATCCAGGTCTGTGCCCAAACAGTTTGAGCTTCTACTTCTAAAAATCCACCTTTCCAGAAATAAGTCTCTCACTGTTGCCGCTTGCTACAGACCCCCCTCAGCCCCCAGCTGTGCCCTGGATACCATATGTGAATTGATTGCCCCCCATTTATCCTCAGAGTTCGTACTGCTTGGTGACCTAAATTGGGATATGCTTAACACCCCGGCCATCCTACAATCCAAACTAGATGCCCTCAATCTCACACAAATTATCAACGAACCTACCAGGTACAACCCTAAATCCGTAAACATGGGTACCCTGTTTAGAGGGTAGTCAGATATCATCCTGACTACCCTCTAAATACACCTCCACTGTCTTCAACCAGGATCTCAGCGATCACTGCCTTATTGCCTGCGTCCGTAACGGGTCCGCGGTCTAACGACCACCCCTCATCACTGTCAAACGCTCCCTAAAACACTTTAGCGAGCAGGCCTTCCTAATTTACCTGGCCCAGGTATCCTGGATGGATATAGATCTCATTCCGTCAGTAGAGGATGCCTGGTTGTTCTTTAAAAGTAATTTCCTCTCAATCTTAAATAAACATGCCCCATTCAAAAAATACAGAACTAAGAACAGATATAGCCCCTGGTTCTCCTCAGACTTGACTGCCCTTGACCAGCACAAAAACATCCTGTGGCGTACTGCATTAGCATCAAATAGCCCCCGCGATATGCAACTTTACAGGGAAGTTAGGAACCAATATACACAAGCAGTCAGGAAAGCAAAGGCTAACTTTTTCAAACAGAAATTTGCATCCTGTAGCACTAACTCCAAAAAGTTTTGGGACACTGTAAAGTCCATTGAGAATAAGAGCACTTCCTCCCAGCTGCCCACTGCACTGAGGCTAGGAAACACTATCACCACCGATAAATCTACAATAATCGAGAATTTCAACAAGCATTTTGCTATGGCTGGCCATGCTTTCCACCTGGCTACCACTACCCCCGGCCACCAACTCTGCACCCTCCGCTGCAACTTGCCCATGCCCCCCCCGCTTCTCCTTCACACAAATTCAGACAGCTGATGTTCTGAAAGAGCTGCAAAATCTGGACCCCTACAAATCAGCTGGGCTAGACAATCTGGACCCTTTCTTTCTAAAACTAGCCGCAGAAATTGTCGCAACCCCTATTACTAGCCTGTTCAACCTCTCTTTCGTAACGTCTGAGATCCCCAGAGATTGGAAAGCTGCCGCGGTCATCCCCCTCTTCAAAGGGGGTGACACTCTAGATCCAAACTGTTACAGACCTATATCCATCCTGCCCTGCCTTTCGAAAGTATTTGAAAGCCAAGTTAACAAACAGATCACCAACCATTTCGAATCCCACCGTACCTTCTCCGCTATGCAATCCGGTTTCCGAGCTGGTCATGGGTGCACTTCAGCCACGCTCAAGGTCCTAAACGATATTATAACCGCGATCGATAATAGACAGTACTGTGCAGCCGTCTTCATCGACCTGGCCAAGGCTTTCGACTCTGTCAACCACCGCATTCTTATTGGCAGACTAAATAGCCTTGGTTTCTCAAATGACTGCCTCGCCTGGTTCACCAACTACTTCTCAGATAGAGTTCAATGTGTGAAATCGGAGGGCCTGTTGTCTGGACCTATGGCAGTCTCTATGGGGGTGCCACAGGGTTCAATTCTTGGGCCGACTCTTTTCTCCGTGTAT